AGGTGAACAGATAAAATAGGCAAATCACTTCAAACTATAATAATGCTGCTGTACTCAACTGTCATGAAACACTTGCTGGGTTCTGGTTGTGGTTCTCTCTGTTGGATTATGTTATTGAAAGAAAATTCAATAGATAATGGAATTGCAGTGTTTTTCTTTTGTATAGCAATCAAAAATCTGTAGTTGTAAAGTTTCTACCAGTTTGAATTGAAATGTTTGTTGCTAACATCAGCACAATGCCATTGATTCCCAGGAAGGTCTGTTTTGGGAGAGCAGAGTCTGTTGTGTGTCTATAATAATTTAATAATATAATAAAAACATGATGACAGAAGTATTTTGGTTGACAGTTTTAACCACATTGTGTTGACCTCTGCGAAGTAGCACCTCCTGCATCAAGCCATGATCATTGTTGCTTACACTGTTACCGTGGAAACCTTCGGAGTGGGTGACAAGCAGATATTTTTAAAGTTTGCCCTTTCTGAGTGAGTGTATTGAGCCAGTTCCTGCACTGAAAGTTGCTGAAAATGCTCATGTGTGTTGTTTGGTGGTCCAATAGTAATAGTGGCCTGCCTACCTTTACAACTGGATTCCAGCACTAGACACAATGACTATTTTACCATTTCATATTGGAACATAACTGTCACATACTGTCATGTATTGTCTACTTAACACATATAGAGCTATAATAGACCTCTTTAACCAAACCTAGACCCTTTTTATTCAGCAGCCTCTGATTGGTGAGTGTATGATAAACCCATAAACTAGCCTTTAGGGGTGCATTCACACTTGGGTTGGCTTGGTCCTGGTCTGAGCCCAGTTTGGTCCAGTTTGGTCCAGTGCTAGTCATGGCTTAGTTCTTAGTCTTGAAATGGTGTAAATACAACAATATATTACATGGTTTCACATGTTAGGATTTCTTAAATCCAGAGAAATGGTAGCTGTTTAAAAGTGGAGAGGGCGTGGGTTTGAATGCAGAGCAGCCAGCTTGACAGTATTTGGTAATGCACTGTATATAGGCCACAGTGTCTCTCAACATTGTTTTGGTTCAAACAAGGTCAAAGCTGCTGCCACAGCCTGGCAGCATGTTAAAATGTCTCATTGTGCTTTTGTAACCTAAAGAGTGTTAACCAGAACAGGATCTGAAATTCTGATGGAAAATTTTGACAGTGCAGCATAGGATAGTAGTGCTGCAGTTCTTTATATTGGCCAAGTTCTGCCAGTTGGAAATATAGTGGTGGTGACTCTTAAGGCTGAAAACAAACATATCAAACATATATTCATTAATGATAATACTGCTATTGCCCAAAACATGTACAACAGGTAAAATCTAGGTCTAGGTAATCTCCAAGTCTAGCTCACGATCTGGAGATGGATCCCTGTGTGCTGCACTCTGGTGCTCACTGCTCCTGATAGGTTGCTTCAGGGTTCGCTTCTGAATAAATATTGCCTATGAACTTTTTTGAGACTTGGGACTGTCACTAAGAGTAGGCTATTTAAGCACTGACATCTTAATATTCATAGGTCTCCACTCCTGCCATCAATTCTGTTGCTATGCAGAACATATCACACAGTGCACCATTTTGCTGCACGCTAGAGGAGCTCTGTGATGAGATTTAAATTAATTCTGCTCCGGTCCGAAATTCTGCCTCGCACACCCCTGCTGGGACCTGTTGTATTAATGCCTCTGCTTCTCTTCAGCATCACTATACTCGCCCTGACTCAGTCCTCCGCTCTGCAGTGGCTGATTTGTGGAAGAGGCAGTCAATGGGGAAAACAAAACAAAGACGCACGCCTAGTACAGTTATGCTAACAGAGCTGCTGCTGAGGAGTACAGTTTTTCAGGTTGTGATATACACAATTGAGGACAGTTTAGATGCAACAACAAAGTCTTTGCTATTGATTTACTTATGCAGCCATAGTCGTGGAAACCAGCTTTATATTACTGCTGCAACTCTACTGCATATATTACTCTTAGTGAATGGTACTCTTATGCTAAAGTGTAGATTAGCGCAGTCTGACAACAACAAAACAACAATAAAAAACAGCATGACCAAAGTTTGTGGTGACAACCAGCGACTTAGTCAGTCACACAAGTCAATGTGTTATAGCCAGTAAATCCAAGCATAGGTAGAGCAATAGAAGTAGTGCTTTGATTCATATGAGAATTTGTCTATAATTAATACAAAGGACTGTTGATGTAATGTAAATAAGAAGTGTATTACACATTACATGTTTTTATATTCTTGCATAATCGATTATCTATATCACAGACACAGGATGTACCATGAAATCTCTAAAAATAAATGTATACTGTACAATTTGATCTTGTTTAATCTATCTTTGGACATTAGTGCCTCAGTAGCTGACAAAATTGGATTGATTTTCCCTTTCTTGTATGTTTGCCAGAATGAAGCCTAAACTGATTATAGCTGATGAATGTATTAGTGTCTCGTGGCATTTAAGGTAACTTCTTCAGAGGGATGGCTCCAGTAATATGATGCGCCAATCGCACTGGCAGACATTAGGCAAGTACAGACAGACAGACAGGCTGGCAAGAGGATGCCAGGCTGAGTATTCATACAAGTTTAATGAGCGTCAGACAGTGGGAGCTCACAGAGAGGCTGACTGGGCTACACACACAAACCAAACAGGTGGGAGACTAAGGTGGGGTTGGAGCAGCCAAGTTTGGATTTTGCGTGTGTGTAAATCAAATATTAATTTAAATATATTCTTTTGTACAAAAGTAAATTCTGAAAGTAAAGAGTTTGTTTTTAGAGGAAAACAAATGAAGCGATCAAATAATACCCCAAGGACAAAGAAGGTACGCTCCGTTGTTCATTATCATCCTCTGTTCTTGCAGCTGTTGTATTTTGGAGGTGCCAGTCAGTCAGTAGCCATCTATCAACTAATATACACTGATTTGCTGTAGTACTATTAATGTAAGGTTTTACGGCTAATAAGGTTTATCAGAGCTTGGGGTTGGACTTGAGACTAGTTATATATTCGTAATATACCAATTAATGTACAGTACAAATTAGGTTTGTCTAGATTAGAAGATACAAAAATTCCAAATTATATGATAAAATAAGGTAATATAGTAGAGCAGTTTTAATGCATTTAATACAAAACTCATTTATATCTGTATCAGATCAGTATTGCAGAATTTGCCACAGTACAGTATGAAAACAATCCTTTCTTTTGTTGCCCATCACTGCATGGCATCTCTCACTAATGGTATGCCTGATTGGTGCAAATATAATGACTAGCTAATATTGATTGATTGTTTTGTTTATTTAATCGTCTTCACACTGCAGTTGGTACACAGTTCCCAGCAGCTATCTCTATCCTCCTCTTACAAACATGTTTAAAGAGAGGCAGAGCTTGTGCCAGAGGATCTAGAGCATTCACAGCAGTATTTACACAGTGTTTGACTTTGTTTGATGCGCTCCATGGAAGAGTTTAATGTGTATGTGGCAAGCTGTTTGTTTACATGGAGTTGTTCCTTTTGTTGTGAGTCAGCTTCTTTTTAGCGTTGGCAATGTTTTGAATAATTTTCCCAAATGACTCATTATGGTTCCTAATTACCACGCCAACCAGCCCACATCGGATTACCTTCACTGCTTTAAATCAAAATTCATACAAATCAGTGTCACTTGAATGGTCAATGGCTAAAAGCTGCATTTTAAATATGCAGTGTTACAGTTTGCGAAAATACACAGCACAAATGAAACGTCTCTCTGTGCTTTCGCTACCTGTGTGGGTTTAACCAACTGCTGTTTTCTCTCGTCATCGTACCACTATCGCCCACAAACGCATTGATAAGTGCTCAGACTGTAAGAGCAGTGGAAGTTCAGTAGGTCATATAACTAAAGTACTGTTTCAGACTAAACCAGCACATTTTCCACTGCTCTGTGGTGTATGTGTGTCTTGATTGTTGTTGAATTTAGGGCAGACGGTGACAGTGAGTGAGTGGGAGTAACAAATGCTGCCACCATATTTGCTTAACAATGTTTACGCTGTGTGTATATCTTGTATGATGATGAGTCTTTTTGTCTGAAGTGTAGGCCTTTTCAATGTATTTTTTTTAACTTTTGTGTCAAAGTCAAAAGTCACAATACAACAATAGAAATATGTTGAAAGGGGTAATATGTTGCTGTTCATTTAAAGCAAGTAACATTGATTCATCACATAATTCAGCATAGTAAAATATCTCAAGCATCCATATGGTTTTCATGTGTTTTCTTTAAGCCTGCTATATACTAAACTATGGGCATTGTGACACACCCAAATGATTTTCTATGTCTGTCCGGTTCTGATGATGTTATACAATTGGTGTCTCTGGTTGGGTGTTTCAGCTACAGCTAGACATCCACAGTTGCTATAGCGACTTCACTTTAATGAGTCTGCATTTTAACAATGTTGTTACGTCCTCTTGGGCTGTGTCTTTTGTCAGGGTAGTGATGGCATGACGGGGAGCTAAATGTTTGTAAAGAAAAGTATACTTTGAAAAATATATGTGAAATAAACTTCTTGGGTAGGATAGTACTTTATTTGCAGATAACAAAAAAATTCTAATAGTGTTTTTAGATTACATTCTTCAGTGTGTTACCTTAATCATTTCTCCCTTTTATATTTATTACTTGTTGCCTCATTTAATTTTCATGTTGACTTCAACTCACATTGTTTTTGACAAAAGCACTGTTGTCGCATAATCAGATCTTTTGGATTTTTACTGGAGTGAAACACTATTAGTAATAGCATATTGACTATCACATCAGAATATTCATAGTCTTTCAAGGTGATGAGACCATAATATTTCAAGTGTCTCTTGTTTGTTGTTATTGTAGCTTATAAAGGTGAAATAAGACTTAGGAGCTGTTTAATTGAGCTGAACAAAGTCCATATATGGTTAAGTAACTGATAACTGAAAACAAACACATGTTATCAGATTAAATGTGAAACTATGGATGGTTATTTATGAACTGTTTTCTCTGTTTTAGGTAATTACCTATCATGCAGGAGGTCCTCCAGAACTGGAGCTGACACTGTCAGCAAGCCCCCAACATTGTGCAGAATTGTCCTATCTCCACTGGACTTTCATGTCCCCTGGTTGAGGGTACAAGCTTGTTGGTCCTACACCTGGTCTACACCTAGTCCTTTTTCTCATACTGGATATTATATTGGCTGGACTTTCTGCTGCACCTTCTGCAATACTATTTGCCCCTCACTCAGACTTTGGAGTGGAGCAAATCAGGCACCTTAACTTTAAGCACAAAGACAACATTAGGGAGAAGCCAACATCATGGCCAGTCGACGGAAAGCATCTACTCCTTGTATGATCCGACCAGACCACACCATAGTGGAACCAGATGACGATGAAATAGAGGATGCATGTGATTTGCAGGTACACTGCCAAATTATGGACATATTTTTGTGTAATGTAATTTTGATATTTAACTAATTTTACTGTTTTAGGCAAATGTGAATAACCATAGAGATGCAAGCCCAATGGAAACTGATGTCTCATCACAGAAAGAACTACCCATGGATCTGGACCTTCTAGATAAGGCATCGGACTCACAGTCATCAACAGACCATACCACAGCAGAATCCGATCTCACCAAGTCCCAACAAAAGCAACAGGGAGGCTACGAGTGCAAATACTGCCCCTTCTCCACCCAAAATCTTAACACTTTTAAAGAACATGTGGATGCTAACCACCCCAATGTCATCTTGAACCCTTTGTACCTGTGTGCTGTCTGCAATTTTAACACCAAGAAGTTTGACACGTTAACAGAGCACAACGAGAGGTGTCATCCCGGGGAGAGCAACTTTAAATTCAAACGCATCAAAATGAACAATCAGACAATCTTGGAACAGACAATTGAGGGATGCAGTAATAATGCTGTTATTTACAACTCTTCTAGCTCTATTTCTGGTAAAGTGGAGGACATGAATAAACCCACTGCAGTCAAAATCAGCAAACCAAAAATAATGTCTTCGGATAGTAAATGGACAGATGGAGCTTTGGGTAAACTTGCCCCAGAGTTGGTTAAGAAGCCAATCACCGCAGTGAATGTGAATGGGACAGTCATCATCCCAGAGTCAACGCTCCTCAAAGCGGACAGCCTTGCTCACATCATGCCTTCACTACAGCGGCCTCTCAACTACACGCAGGTTTTTGAAGTTTAATATATTGCTTAACAAAAATATAATATAATGGATAAAAATGAAACTAATTTATAACCCTAAAGCAGGATTACCCCCCCCAAAATATTCTATGTCTGTAATTTTTTTAATAAGTCTATATTGTAATTATCATGACAGACCTAGTAACACCTGTATACATGTTGTCTACATGTATACATATGGAAATAGTATTGCAGTTATTTTAATTAAATAACCCAGAGATCATACTTGTATAGCCAAGTAGTACAATGACACACTCTGCTTTATTTCTAAATGTTGTAAATTCAATTATCTATATTTATTGTTGTATGTTACAGGTGCCCAAGATTGCTGTGCCCTTGAATACGACCAAATATAACCCTTCACTTGACGATAACTTGACCCTTATTTCCTCCTTCAACAAGTTTCCTTACCCAACCCAGGCTGAGCTGTCATGGCTTACTGCAGCCTCCAAACACCCAGAAGAGCAGATCAAAGTTTGGTTCACCACACAACGGCTAAAACAGGGTATAAGCTGGTCGCCAGAGGAGGTAAATATCACACTATTATCACTTTGGTTGTATAGGATTTCTTTCCTTACAGTATAAAGTAAATGTATAACTTTTCTTTTATAACAGGTTGAAGAAGCAAGAAAGAAAATGTTTAACGGTACAATCCCTCAGACATTTGCTGTAGTGGCCCCTCAGCTCAACTCACAAACATCCTCCAATTCTTCAAGCTCCACCTCGGCCTCCAAATCCACCCCAACTGCAGCCTCCCTTCTTCAGCCACTCCCCTGTCAGCTTGTGGGTCAGACCAGCCTCGTGCTCACGCCTGTGGCCAATGGATCTGCAGTCACCTGTGCCCCCCTGGCTCTCACTGTGGCTAACCAGGTGCACTAAATATGTCTGCTAAAAGTATGCTTAGAGACATTATATAGCAACCATACAAATAGCAATATACACATGATCATGTTTATTTTAGCTTTCACATTTCATATCAGGCCAAAGTTAAAACCTCCACAGAATTCCACAATGTATAATGCTTTTATCAGGTATTATGAGGTGTTTTTATTTTTTCAGGTTGCACAATCGCTTAAAAGACCTCTGCCTTCCCCTGCGATTTCCACAGAGACCAAACGGCCGTCCATAATTCAAACAATTTCTGCGCCTGTGCTTTCACCTAAACTGTCTTCACCCAAAGTCCTGAGCTTCACAGTTGATCCAAACAAAACTGCGGAACAACTGTCTGTGCTGAGGGCCAGCTATACACAGTGCCCCTTCCCTGAGGAAGATGAAGTAAGAAGAGAAATCTATTTTCTGATCATTAAAATTATGATTAAAATTATGATAATAATTTTTATTTAAATTTTAATAATTTTATAGATTTACAGGCTGATAGAGAACACAGGGCTGTCCAGAGGAGAAATAAAAAAGTGGTTCAGTGAGCAGAGACTTCTCAATCTCAAAGGTAAAGATGGTGCCTTAATGAATTACTTGAATGTGGCTTCATTTTTTTTATTACTTCAAAATTGTAATTTGTGGTGGGCTGAAAGACTGCCTAGTCATGCTCTTTTCTTAAACTATAACTATCTATTAAAGGTGTTCCTCCCCCACCTGTGCTGGTAAAAGCAGAAGTGAATTCTCCCCCTAAAGATGGCCCAATGAAAAAGATTGTCCCGAGTCAGTTTCCGCTGCTGGAGAGAGTCAAAGGGAAGAGCTCTGAGCAGCTGAAGGCTCTGGAGGAGAATTTCCAAAAGAGCAGCTGTCCAACAGAGGCTGAGCTAGGTAATAATACTTTCTAATACTTTATATCTCACTATGGTATGTGTTCATCAATTACAGGCTCAAATCACTTTGACTTTTTCAATTTGTCATATTTTTAGTGGTTAGTGGTTCCCTCTGTGTGCCAACAAACAGCAGCTTGAATGCCAATTTATTTAAAAATTATTATTTAAAGTAGTCTACTCAGTGTGACTTAATATTTCCTCACCCTGGTGAAAGTACAGCACTATCTCTTGTTGACAGAAGTAGCAGGACTGTTTTTAATGAGCTTGTTGTACCATCCCCTGGAGAGATGAGCTTTTGGACCCCTCTTTGACATCTTTGTTGACCACTTTTCAGACCAGCTGGCCCAGGACACCCGTCTTTCTAAAACTGAGGTGGACTGCTGGTTTTCGGAGCGCAGAGCTCTGGAGAAGGCTCTTCTCAGCATGAAGAGTGCAGAGGATCGTCCAGGGGCAATGCAGAACGGGGCGTCTCATCGTGAACAGGAGGGGAAACACCATCTCTCCTCCCCCCACCCCCCTCTTCTGTCCTGTTCATCTGCATCTCCTCCGGTCCTGGCAGCATCCTCCCCACATCCGCCGACTTTGTCGTCCTCCGCCTCTCCCCCCATCCTCACTTCCTCCTCCTCATCTTCGCCCCATCCCCCCGTACTCTCTGCATCAAACAGTCCTGCGCCCTTCACCAGCCGCTCCCTCACTCTGCTCAGAGAGGTAAAAAAGAACACAACTTACATGACTTAAATAACAAATATACTACATATATACTGGAGAATGTGTGTATGTGTAATGATACAATTAATTTTTTTTTTATGTTAACTTGAAAATGTGCAACAAGCCTCATCATGAAATTATGGGAGATTTTGTGATTATTACAAAATTAATAAAAATTTGATCAAGTCATGGGATGTGCTCATTTATTATTGTATTATAAGTAATTTTTTTTTTATTCCAAACAGATGTTCTGTCGGACACAGTGGCCTTCTCCAGAAGAGTACAGTCAGCTGGAGGTCCAAACCAGTCTGGGACGCACCGACATTGTGCGCTGGTTCAAGGACCACCGGTCTGCTCTAAAAAATGGTGAAACACTAGAGTGGATGCAAGAGCATCTGAAAGCAAAAAGCAAATCCGAGAAACCACAATGTATTTCTATAGAAACCTTGACAGCAAAAGGTAAAATCCCTCCAAAACAATAATGTATGACATAAAATGTGTCATACATTTTCTTAAGCAATTTCTTTTATACATTGCAGAAGAAAATACCGGTGAGAATATGACAGAGCACTCAAAGCAGTTGGACCAAGACACAGTACAGTGGTTACCAGAAAAGCTGGACCAGGGAGTAACTGTCCTGTCCCAGTCAAGGCCAGACAAAACCAGTGACAATGCTGCAGACAGTGGGAGGTGACTGCTCTCTTTGGGAACAAAATCTATTTCTGTCTATGTGGAGAATACTTTAGGCAATGACTAGCTATTGAAATTCTGTGTTTTTCAGGTGGGTGAAGGTGACTGTGGAGGTGGGAGAGGACCCTCAAGCAGCTACAGAAACAAATATTTTGGGTTTGGAGCAACCAGGCAGGGTTACAGGCTGATGTAAGTAGAAACTAGAGAGCTATATTTTAACTGAATAACACTAAAGGTCACTCGGGTCAAGCAGAAGTAGCTCAGCACTCATCCACCAACCTCCATAAACATGTTGCCATTGTGTCCTTGGGCAGGTCACTTTACTCACACACAGCATTCATACATAGGCGAGGTGAGTGATGAGTGGCAGCTGGAGGGGCAAGATGACTAAAGAAATTAATTTAACATAAGAGATCATAGTAAATGGAGTAACTAAGAAGTATAAATGGTGAACTGTTTCTTTAAGATACCACAGCTGCAGTCCCTTTTGCCCAGGAAGTTACCACTGTGTAATTAACACACTTCAAAGCTGTGCCAGAATTGGCCAGGACGGCAGCTTGATACTAGGACCAATTGATCATTACCACATTCACACATGCGTGCAAGACGTTTACTAATATCCTGTTCATGAATGTGTCCTCTTGTTCTGTTGTTTTCAGAGCTGGTTGTTTTGTTCTGATCATGAGAAAGCCTAGCGCAGATCGTAATAGTGAGGAAACAGTCTCGCTGAGATCTCAACCTGAAGCACCATGGACCTTGGAGATTTGCACTGAAAAGCACTTAAGTGTGGTGCGTAAATGGACATAAGAGGAGTGCCAAAGCTGGACTTGATGCATTGTTCTTACTACTAAGTGTGTTTTTAAAGCACCATGTAAATATTTTTCTGTATGGGGTGTTTGTACAGTTTTACTAAGAGGGCACTTTTGGTTACCATTTTATACTGCCCCAAACTGGAATGTTATTGTTTTATGATCAAAGTGTATAATAATCAAAAAATATTGTCATATTTTTGAAAATCATTATGTTCATTAGGCGTAGTCACTAATGGCACTTACTGTACATATTCCTGTCATTGTAATAGATTAAGTAATGTAAGACATTTTCAGCTTAACTGTACCAGCCATTTGGAAACTAACCTTTCCTTATTTCTGCAGCTTCTTATTGACTTGGCCTCATAATATTTTGCTAGTGAGAGTGAAAATCACTTACACTGGAAAGTGCTAGAAGTGCAATTAGTGGGAATAACAGTGTTTGGAGAAACAGCCACAGCTTTACTGAGGGTTTGCAGTTCTGGGCAAATAGAGCTGCATTAGCACAGACCAAGGAATGAAAGCACTGTATGTCCTGATGTCTTCTCTATGAAAATGTTTTGCCTCAGTATATAAGATGTGTTCAAATGGTGCCGAATGTGGGCTTTTCATACTGAGTGAGTTTTATTTTATTACTTGAGGTGTGTCCTGTTTTGTTCCGCCACGCTGCCTTTGAAGCTTTCACCTGACATGTCTCTGTCTCTAAACCTGGTACAGTCCTCTCAATGGTTTATTACAGTTTTTAATTTCTGTTGAAACAAAACTTGAAGTATTATTGACGGAACATACAAATATTAAGATATAAATTACTCATGCATGGTAAAGTAGTCAAAGGTCCCTCATAATCTGTGACTACACGTTTCTTACTTTCCCATCTTTCTAAAAAGACATTGGCACTTAATGTTCTTAGAAATTTCAGGGTGAGGGCTATTTCACAAAAGTGACAATTGGCTAAATGCAAATACCAGCTTCATATTGTTACGTTTCTAATTTTGTTGTCATTTCGGTTCCAAACTAAGCTTCTTGCAAGTTTTCAGTCTATAGTCCATAGTGATTGAGCCACACATGGGTGAAACTCTTGTATGAAGACAAACTTTGACAAAAAAAAAAAGGAAAACTTGCAAAAGCCTTATGATGAAGTTAGCCACTTTTGTGTAATGACCTTCAAATATACAGCTGGGGTATGATTAAAGACAAAATTTGCATCATTAACTAACCATCATAAACTGTATACCAATCAGTACTTGATTACTAACTGGTCTAAGCAGGTATACAGCAGTGCTTGCTGAATGTTTGTGTATGGCACTGCTTAAGTTTCATGTTTAAAGAATCTGAAATACTGGTCATTTTTTGGCTTGTAGTAAACACTGCTTGCTTTTTCATTTTCCATTATTCTGCTTAAACAGAATAAATACACATTCAACTGTTACGGAGACATGTTTTGTTGTGATGAGACACAAGTCAGTAAAACACATGGACTAGGTGTACTTTCAATAAAGAACTGTTATATTTACAAAAACAAAATTTAATCCTTAAGGAATTTAGATTGAGACAAAGCTGGAGTCTGAGCTACGGCAGCTCAAACACTTAACACAATGTAGAGACCTCTAAACAAACCTCTAAACAGCTGTAAGTGGCTGTCTATTTTAACCAGTACACAAGAAATTACAATGTACTCTGATATGGCATCTTAGAAATCAAGAGAGAAAAGATCAAAATCATAGAAGAGAGCTGTGATTGGTCTCTACAGCAACTTGGGGTAAAAAAAAAGATCAATGATGGACAGGATTAAGAAAAAAGTGAGGAGAGTTTGTACATCCAAATATATAAATCCATAACTGTCTATTTTCTTCTTGTTCTCTGCTGCACATCCACAGTAGTAGTTAAAGCAAAGCTTGCTGTGCGGTACTACATTAGGAAACGTCTTCTTCTCAAACGATTATTATTATTTTTTTTTTTTTTGTGAAGAGGCATACATTTTCCCCAAAATTACAAACTGCAGTCATTTAAGGTTAAAATTTTGGCAATGGGGGGTAAAACTCATTCACCCCCCAGACGAAATCCTTGGCCCCAGTTGTGTCGCCCTGCTCCAAACCCAGCCTGTTCCTGAGGAGCTGCTCTTCTGGTGGGAGGTGCTCCAAAGCCTGACACCCCTCCCCTCCTGTTCGGGAAAATTCTATACCTGCAGAGAGAACACAACAAGGAGGTTTAAAACAGGGTCACACAATCTGAAAACATTTTCTAGAGTTTTAAAAAACTAGCTAAACAGAAGCATCTTAATCAGGCTGCAATGTAAAGAACATCATTCACATTCTGTTACCAGTTCAAGTATGACTTACAAAAACTCTGGCGTAGAGAGGAAAGCACGTCCACCGAGGTCTATGGGGTACTTGAACATAAGGAAAAAATAGAGGTGGCCCACTAGGTTTCCAATTAGCTCATTCAAAAAACTGCAAGTAAAAATATAATTTTTAAACCAGTTGGTAAAATAAATTGTCATAGATAACTGACATTACTTACGAGCCACCAATGATGAAATTGAAACCCAGTATAACCCATGGAAGATAGTGTGCCTACAAGAAAGCCACAAAATTTCAGGAATGTAATTTTTTTTTTTATTAGAGTACAGGAGTTTAACCCCCTTAATATATGTAAATGTACCTTAAATCTCGTTCCAAACCAGAATGATACAATGGTGTCCTTGTTGAACTGAGCCCATACATACAGCACTGACATAATAAGTGGGATCATCAGCAGCTGAAACAACAAATGTAATTTTATTCCTGTGTTAAAACTAATGAGTTCATTAACATTTTAATTTGTGAATGTTGTCTCACCTGCATGTCCATGAGCAGTCCAACTATCTATAGTTTAGAGTCAAGGACAGTACAATAACAGAGAAACTTGACTCGGAGCTGCCACCTAGTGCCTCATTTTACAACACAAACATATGAACCCATTGCCCCCCCGTTTACCTGATGTGAACTTAAACTGTCCACAAAATGAGTAAAATGTTTTGATAAAATGGTGTTAGATAAAACACGCAATACACTAACTGTACTTGCTTCAGTCACATACAGACTAATTTCTACAGACCAAATTAGAGAGATGGGCAGGGCCCTCTTTGCCGCATATGACCTAGATTATGTTTCTCTCCTCTGCAGGGGTAGACTGACACGGGCCACTGGCACAGAGCCACCCTGACATGGTACAGTGCTGCAGTGGGAGTGGAGCACAAAAGATGGGACGATAAGAGTTGTGGCTGGGAAAACATTGTACAATAACTAAATAAGCAGCAAGACAGAACAGCCAGTAGAAGTGTTACAGTGGAATATAAAGGTTTCTTATCTGAATAAAATGATTATGGATACAACAATGCAGAGCCAGTTAAAAGTGAGCATGAAGACATAGTCTGCAGGTCTGCCATCGAACGCCCCTGTAGAGAGAGAAATGTCATTTATGACGAAATTATTTTAACATCTTTAAATTCTGTGACGTTCTGGACATTTGTCTTTATTAAATTTTGTCAGTAATTTGAAAAGAAACAATCAAGCTTTGCGTCCTGGACATGTGAAGCATCATTGGAGAGCACATATATTTATTGTCAAATCAACTAAAATTGCTACTAAACTAAAGTTAGAAAAATGCACACCTGTTTCCAGCCTTGAGGAGTAGTGGTAGAGGAAATATAGATTGACCAAGTAAAGAAACCCTGTGTTTGGGTAGATTGGAAAGTACAGGGTTGACGTTACAGGCCTCCATAGCTGCAACAGAAATGTCAACAATTGTTTAACTGGTTAGAGTTTTAAAAACAATAAAATATGTACCATAGCATTCAATAGTGTCTCATAGTATTTTAGACGCAGTGAGGTACTCAAGTAATAAAATACTAATTTACGAGGTTTAATTATTTATGTTAAATATTAATGTAATAATATAATGTAAGATTTATTGGCAGTTTCCAGACAACAGGACGAGGAAATACGACTGCATTTGACAAACAGACCAAAATTACAACTAAATACAGCTCTGCAAGCTTGTAACGTGATATGCATTTGACAGCACCCGGAAGTGCACGTATACGTCGCGTTCTCTTATTGGCTGCTTAAAAGCTAAGGCCTTTTAGGTAGTTTCTCGTTAGCCACCTGCTAACTGCATTACCATGGAGTGCATTACCTACACCCGAAACATAGAAACGACTTTTCTTCGTATACACAAAATATATATACATATATATCGAAAACTTACGTGAAATCTATTGAAGAACAATTGTGGTGCCAGCACGAGGTTCATAGGATTAATTAATCCTAGCTTTCCAATGAAGGGAACAATTATGGACCCAGCAAACCATGCTCGGGTGATTAAAGGGATGCTTCTGAACCAGTCTCCGATATCTGACATCTTTCCATACAATCACGGGCAAATATATATGCACAAAGTACTAACTATTCTACAGAAAATCGATCGTAAACCCTCAAAGACGATGTTTGTCAGCTAATCAGAACTGCTTCTTGGCTAGTTTACATGACGTGGCTAATCGGCTAGCTCAATATGTGACCGTCGGTTACCGAAAACATAACAGTGGAGCCTGTGTGTCTTTCAAAATAAAATGCTCTTATTTTCTCTAATGCTCCAATTTCATGGTTCCAGTGTTCTTCAAGCAAAATTTTATGTACCAAGTCCATTCGTTGTTTTTCATGTAATACCTTTCAATACTGTATTATTGGCAAACGTTTGTATCTGAGTTGATTCCGTCGTTCGTTATCTTTATTATGAAGAAATAAATTACGGAAGTAACCTCAGAAGTTTTGCAAAAAGTCATACAAAGGTCTCTACGAAAATTTGACTATAACAAAAAGCTTATGTAAATGAAAAGTCGTTATCGTTTTGTCAGAAGACGATAACGTGCCATAAAAACGGAAATCCATCTCTACTGAAAAAGTTGTTCTTATCCGGCAACCATTAGAACTACACCTCCCATAATTCCTTTGTGTATTTACCTTTTAGCAAAGATATGCTACCAAAATGTATGCGTTAGAAATGAAATTAATGACGCAAAATTGCAATTCAGTAACCTCGTTAGTAAACTGTCTCTGTATTAGTTTAGAAGTAATTAGTTTTTAACCTCAAATTGCTGGAAATACAAGATTTAAAATATGGACTCTTTTTAAAATTCGCGCTGTTTGTTCCGCCTGCAGAGATTACTGGTTAGCTTTGTTAGCATTTTAGCTTTACTACTGCATTGTGGGTGGTATCAAGAAGCTTTAATTTTTCAATGTAAGAGAGGGCATTAACACACGTTTTTACAATGCAAGTGACGGACATCGGGAACAAAGAAGATGGGAAAATCTGGCATCGAAATTCAACTTCGACAAAAGGGTAAACAACGTTCTTTTTGTTGTTGTATTACTTGTATTACTATTATCCGTGGCATTACTATGTATTAAGCACATAAAGACCTGACTGGATTTATCAGTTTGATTTGTATGAGTTGTTTCACTATTTCACCAAACACCTGTTGATGTCCTCTGCTTTTATCCTCTTGAATTCTCTAGAATGAAATATATTTACTTTTTATACTGATTGTATTCATCAAAAATGAATGAAAAACATGAAATAATATATGTTTATTAATAATGCATTGTGTTAATCTCTTGCTATCTGTGTCAGGCCCATGGTGACAGTGGTGCGCACTGCACAGCAGGCCAAGACTGTGCGTTTCCTCCATGTTGCTTTTGACACCACAGGAGAGTGCTTCATCGCTGGAGATCACCATGGAAACATCTATGTGTTTGACATCGGGAGAAACAGGTGACTTTGAATGTTTGGGCATACAGGCCCCCCTGCAACACTCATGCATGGCTCTGCTGACTACAAAACATAGTTTTATGAACTACTGCTGAATGTGTCCAATCATGTTTTGTTGTGTGTTCTTGTTTTTGGAGCAGATTTCGACTGGTGCAGAAGACAGGACAGGCCTGCACTGCTCTGGCATTTACTCTTCGTCGAACATCAGAGTTTCTTGTGGCTTTAGCAGACTACACTGTCAAATGTTTTGATAAAGGTGGGGTGAACATAATGTGTGTCTTAACAAAAACCTGAAGATGTACATTTGTTAAAAAAAAAAAAAAAAAAAAATTATTATCAACATTTAAACCTTTTCAAGTTCGCAATAGCCTCTGTGTTTTCTATGGACAGATACAAAGCAGCTTGTTAGTTGGATGCGTGGCCATGATGGAGCAGTTTCGTCCATTTCAGTTCACAGTTCAGGCAGATATGCAATCACCACTTCCTTAGATTCTGCTCAGCTCTGGGACATGGACACCTTCCAGAGAAAAAGAAAGCTCAATGTTCGACAGTCTGTTGGCATACAGAGGGTAAAGATGCACAAATCCAATACTTTTATATTATGTAATAATTTCATTAAGATTAATATGTCTGCTTATTATGCTGCATGAGATGGAGCGCATTTTTCTATATTTGAAGTAAAAGTTCTCTCCTTGTCTACAGGTATTTTTTCTTCCACACAGTAACACTATACTCAGCTGTTTCAGTGATGACTCCATCTTTGCTTGGGAAAGTGATACTTTGTTCTGCAAATATCAACTGCCTGTTCCAGACTGTGGACCTCGAATCTCATACAAGGCTTTTGCTGTTACCCAGTAGGTTTTCTAACAAACAAATAGTGCACATTGTTCATCCCAAAATAAGATACTTCACAACACTTGTTCAATGTTATTGACAGAGATGGTAAGAACCTTGTATCGGCGGGACGCTCCAACCTACTGCATCTTTGGTGTCTTGAAAATAAACAGCTCATCAAAGTGATTCAGATGCCTTCACAAGTCCGAACAATCAGACAGCTTGAGTTCTTACCTGACACTTTTGACAGTGGAGCCAATCAGGTGACAAATTATAGTATTTATAATTTTCAGATGCACAATTTTGATTCTTTTAATAACTCTCAAAATGATCTTTCTGTAGACTCTGGGTGTGCTTAGCCAAGATGGTGTGATGCGATTCATCAACATCCACACATGCAAACTTCTGTTTCAAATTGGTTCACCTGACTATGCCCTAACTACAGTGGATATTGGTCCCAATGGTAGACACATTGTTGCTGTCATGGATAATGGTGGAATCAACATCTATAGTTTACAAAGTCTGACAGAAGAATTAAACAAGGTACCAGTCAGGTGTCATATATTTAAAGGATTTATGGATTCTACGTGTTAAATCTTTTTTCTTTTTTCCAGCCTCCTAATTCGCAGGTTGTGGTGGTTAAAGACAAGGAAGTTAATCAGGCTGTGCCAAAGGTTAAAGTCAAGTCAGGTGCAGTGCGTAAACCGTCTTCAAGTAGAGTGACACAAACAAAGGCCCTAAGTCCTGCTGGTGCATGTGATGACAAAGAGGTATAAATCTCACCTGTCAATCTTTGAGACCAGAAAAAATATTGTACGAGGCCATAAATAAAAAGTTGTGTGTCACCTGTAGAATGAATTGCCTGCGGGTTTAAACAAGAAGCGATTGGTGGCCCTGTTAAAGGCATTTGGAGAATATCCTGCTAAATATAGGTGAAGATAGTATTTTGTTGTAAGTTTCAGTGTCCGTTCTGGGATAATTACAATGTTGTGCTTGTTTTTATAGAATGTTTGTGTGGCGCTCTATGCTGTTTCTGCCAGAAAACTATGCAGCGTACAGCAGCCTAACTGACAAAGGACTCCACACAGCATACCTCTCTCTGCATGACAAATATCCAATCAAAAGCCAGAAGCTGCAAAGGCGACTGCAAAGGTTAACTTTAGTTCCAAGCTTTAACAATATGAAATGTGGTTACAATAATCTAAGCACTGCTTTCCTTCTCCTAGAGTTTTGTCTGCTTTGGCTCACTGGGCAGCAATCTTTGGAGAGGTGGAGTATCTCCCTCTTGTGGCCTTTCCTTTTGTTAAGCTCTTTCAGAACAATCCTTTGCTCTGCTTTGAGGTGGTTGCCACCGTGATAGGTATGTTTCCAAGTAAATATTATACTTGAGTGACTTACAATACAATAGTGAGATATTTCCGCTTTCTTTCTTATAGTGAACTGGTGCCAGCACTGGTTTGAATATTTCCCCAATCCTCCTCTCAATATCTTGAGCATGGTAGAAAATGTTTTGGCCCATCACGACAAAGAGCTCTTGCAGCACTTGGTAGATTGTGGCATCACTTCACAGGTAGCAGTCAAAAGTATTTGCAGTTTTTCAACACTTATCTGTTAACTTATCTGTTCTTAAGTTATTTTATAACCATTCAATGAATATTTATCCATTGTTCCAGCTGTACGTTTGGCCCTTGCTTGAAACCCTGTTCTCTGAGGTCCTAACTCGAGATGAGTGGCTTCGACTTTTTGACAACATTTTCACCAATCATCCATCATTCCTGCTTATGACTTGTGTGGCATATACCACATGCAGTCGTGAACCTCTTTTACAATGCTCTCAAAAACAAGACTTTGAGGTAACAACAATCAATAACCTTTATCACAGCATAGAGTTTTTTTAAAATAAAATCTACTATCTAGCATAACCTTTTATTTTAGTATTTTTTTCATCATCGTAACAACCTGGATGTGGGAGCCATGATAAAAGAAGCATATCGTTTGATGAGTAACACCCCTGTGGACATTCATCCAAAGACGATGCTTTCTGACTTCACCCCTCTCACAAAAGGACAGTACCCAATCTTCAATCAATACCCTGAATTCATAGTGGAATACCAGAGTCGTGAAAGGGAGAAGATACGGCTGCAGGAAATGGAGTATTTACGTGAAAGGTGCCAAATAAGGATCAGTTAAACTCTGATCCTTATTATTGATAAATACATTTAGTAGTATTGTAGGAAGATAAATGAATTGTTTTGTCATATTAGGCAGGAGTTGTCCGCAATGCATGCAGAATTTGTTCGTCGACAAGCTGAACAAGAGACCTACTATGCACAACAGGTTGCTTAAGAATTACATATGCAAAAGTAAATTTAAATGTTAATATTTTAATATACAGTCTCTTTAAATGAACTTAGGAGCTGCTACAGAAAGCTGAAGATGAGCGCAGAAACATCCTTGCACAAGAAGAGGAAAAGCTAACTCGACAGAGAGAAAAGTAAACCGGATCATTTATTAACAAACGGGATGATACAGAGATTTGATTAAGAGCGGTTTTGATGTGTGCAGGTTGGCAGCTATGAAGAGGGAGCTAAAGGTGAAAGAGCTGCAACTGCTTGATGCTTCCAGAAGACGATTCCTTAAACACCAACAGAAAGTGAAGGCATCTCAAATTGAGAAACTGGACCAGGAGATCAGTAGAAAGGTCCACACATTGATCATTTATGTTTTTAACTCATCTCTAGAGGCAAGGTTTATGAATGAAAAACCCAAAAAGAAATATTGGATCAAATTGTTATTTGTTACAGAATAGGTCCATAAATGTGTCATTTGTATTTTGGCAAAGTATTTATTAAGGACAATCATGCCTCTGTGATTAAATAACGCAACCACCTTGATAGCCCTGTAATTTAACTATAGGTAGTTTAGAATGTTATGATGACATATGAACTCCAACTATTGAATGTTCAGTTCTATAATACATTTTTAACAGATGGATCTCCGGGATCAAGAAACAGCAGTAGCCATTCAGGATCTGGAAGTGAGACAGATGGAGCTTGAGGCCCAAAGGAAACGACTTGAAGAGGTTTCAAATCATGGTTTTCTCTTAATTTAATTTTCATTTCACATAATTATTTGATAGCACTGACACTACTATTACTTAATTTTTGCACATTCCATAGATTTATATTAGGTTAATCTGTCATCTTGCCTATGGGTTTAGTCCTTTATTTAGGTCACTGAAAGTTATTTCATTTTGTAACATCATATCTATTTACACTGCATTTTTGCCAGTGTTCCCAGGTCTAGGTGTCTCTCTTTTTTTTTTGTTTCAAATTGATATTGATATATGTAGAATAATATACAATACTTAACAAAAGGTTGTGTTTCATACAGCACTTGTTGAAAGATCAGGAGGAAACTGAGAGAAGAGTTGGGGATGAGGTGGAGATGAGATTGAGAAAAGCTGAACGAGAGAATGAGAGCTTCGCACAGCAACTCCACAAACCAAACAAAAATATTCAAGTAAACAATGTAAATACACACCTTCTGCTTTCGATATACTTAACACTGTGCTGAAGACAGACATCACAGGCATTTTACATGTCAATATATTTCACAGGATCATGAGGCTTCCCTGGCAGAGGCATGCCAGCAGCATTTGGATTTGGCCTGGGAGCGCGAGGTGGTGGCACGTATGGAGCAGGTCGAGGCTGAACAGGACAGAAACAGGGAGAGACTGAGTGCGATTCACTTGCAAGCAGAGAGAGAGGAGAGTAGGCTGACAGACACTGTGAGAGAGGCTGCAGGAAAGACGGTGCGGAAATACAGCTTTTTCAGAAACATTAAAAAAACTCTCTAAATCACTGTTAAATTTGTACTTTAGTGGGAAGAAGTCATGAACGCCCGAGTCCAGTTCTCACAGCAGCATAAACACATCTCTCCAGGAAAAACAGGTATTCATATATTTTATTTATTAGTTAAACTACATATTATATTTATACATTTATGTAAATAAAAGCATAATTTCCAAAGCTAAGTTTTTTTTTTTAACATACATTGGGGTTGAGTAAGCAAGATCAAAGTTTATTTATAGAGCCTTTTACAACAACACAGAAAACCACAGAAGACCAAACATACTAGATCATCAAAAAAAAAAAAAAAACGTAGTTTAAAGTAATGGTGTTTTGGTAAAGTCTCACTGAGTATGCTATGTAAATAAAAATAAAACTGACTGGATATCTCAAAATTTGTATTTTTGTTTCACCCTTTAGAGCAGTGATTCTTAGGGGGCCAGGGCCTAAAGTAGGGTCGTGAGCACCCTCCTGAGGGCCTTGAAATCACAAGAGTATAATACATTTACTAGGAAACTGGGCCTCAGGTTACTCTTTACAAAAAAAGTCAGGCCCTGAGGTTAAAAAGGTTAAGAACCCCTGCTTTAGAGCTGTACAATAAAGATCCAAGCACATGATGTATGTACAGGCTGTAAAAATGTCAGTAAAAATATTTTTAAATTAATCATTTTTATAGGTGGCCTACGACAAAGATCATTGCCTTCCTCTAACCGCCTCCCTTACACTTCAAATGGAACTACTGAGGTCAACCTGCCAAGCACTAGTGCTGCTTGTATGACCCAGCAACACAGAACTGCAGCTACTCCTCGGCAACAAGGGAGGACGATGGTGTGTCTAAACAGCAGCTCCCCCACAGAGAGTACCTCCACCAACTGTAAGTATTAACTGTAAGTTCACTTAAGTTAACTAAGTTAAGTTAGTTAAGTTATTAACTGTAAGTATTAACTGTAAGTATCTGTAGATTTAATAGTTTTGTATCTCACATTCCATAGCCTCAGTGCCTACATGCTCTATTGTTGCTTAGTTGAGTGATCTAATGTATTTTTGTCATTTCCTCTTCCTGTCAAGTCTCTCTGGATCGGGGTCGGGCCCAGCTGGACGATGGGGAGAGAGAGCTGCTGAAGGAAATCCGTGAATTGAGGCAGAAACTGGCAGCTCGACCAAAAGCAGGAAGTTCTGTGTCTTCTCATTCTGTCCACACACTGTCCTCCCCTATCTCCCAGTGACTCCTGTGTGACTACTGTTTGTTTGTTTTGCAAACTAGAAAGATCTGTTACAGAATCTATCACTGTCATAGTAAACAGGATTCTTTTCAGGTCAGTCTGTTTCAGAGAATTAAATTTTAATTTTATATTTTGTACACAGTGTTTTTTCAAATGATAAGTCATATTTATTTTTTGCATAAATCATTTAATGAAAAAAGTCAGTCTCTGTGGTCACTGTAGGTTCATATTCTGTGTGGAAGGCAAAATATTTCAAAGTGATTCTATAATGAAAAAAGGTGCCTCAATGTAAACACATTTCATTAAGTATATTGATTTTGTCCAATAACTGACCTTTCTTCAGTGTTTTTTGAGTCACTTTGAGAATAACTTTTCTTGTGAATTACTAATGAGAGTCGTGGCCCTAAAAGCACCAGGTGTGAGTTTGACATGAACTGTCCTGACATCTTCATACCTGTCATTCATTTATTTTCAGACTGTCTGCCTTCAACATGACCTGCTCTGAATAACTGAGGAGCTTTGGGAAAAGGTCAAGTACTTTTGTACCACGCAGCAAAAAAATACCTTACAAGGATTATTATTATATAATTAGTCTTATAACCACAACATGTTTTTACAATGTTTTAGATAAATGTATAGTCCAGTTTTAAAATGTATATTTTCTCACCATCATTTAGCTTCAGGGCTTGTCTGTCTTCTTGTCATGTGTTGCTTCAAGCAGGGGCGTGTTTTCAGTCTCTCTTTTTTCCTTTCAAAGAACAAGCATGCTTATCCTCCACGCAGTAACGTGTAGGCTGGTTCATAGCAAGCATTGACCTATTTGAGCAGTCAAATTTAGAAAGATGATATTTGCTCAAACAATTTGTCATGGATGCAAAAAGTGTCTCTCCACTCTGGTACAAAAGGGTGATAACTCAGGGCAAGGTCAGGAGAAGGGTGCAGGACTTGAGGATACCATCTTCGCCTAGTTTGGATTTTCTGACCAGCAGACCATTGGACCTGAGCCACAATGAAAGCGCTCGGCTGGCAGCAGACTCTCTCCTCTCGGGGGGACTGAGGGGATACCAAGAGGTGCTAACAACAGAGGGAGAGGTGGACTTCCTGTCAGAGCACGAAAAGAAATACTTTTTGGAAAATGGAAAAAACAGCAACATGGATGGTACGTATTTCAATATAATTTATATATTATGTGAAATCTTTAAAAAATGTTTTTAACAGCTGGACCAGATGCTGGTGATGGCAGTGACACTGGGTCTGAAAACCTATGCAGCTCTTACTCAGCTATACCGTGTCCCACAGTGTCCAAAAACAGTGATTCCACTGAAGCTTGTTTAAACTCCAACGAAGGTAGTTAAACTGTTTTTATGAAAAGTAGGATTAATCTTGATGCCATGTAAAACGCAAGCCATATGCAAGAGGGATTAAAATATTACTATTATAATTAGATTCCATTACATTTCGAAATAAAATGCTTATTAATATTAATACCAATGTATATATTTTAACTAGAAGTTGAAATGTCATATACCATCTTCTGTCTTTATATTATTAATTATATATTTATTTTCTGTTGTATATTATTAATTTGTTTTGTGTATTATGTAAATTATAAACAGATGAGTCATACTTTAATTAAATGACTGGGGTGTTTTTTGTTTCCACACCACTCTAATTTGAATAGATTGCTTGCTTCTTTCACAGATGGGAATGATAGTTCTTTCTCTAAGGAGTCCAATGTGGAAGTGTATTTGTACACTGAGAACAGAGCTGCTGGGCTGAAAGACATGGTCAGAGAGTTCATCAGAAAAGCCGAAAAGGTACTTCATGTTTCTATGTGTTCTGAACATGCCTCCTGTCTGTGCTTGTTGTAACACTGAAAGTAATAGATCATCATTAGCCTAAAGGACAATTTGATTAAAGGGACTTCCAACAGTTAAAAAGCATTTGACTACCACAGTATGTAATACATGTTCTTCTTGTTTAGACACTGGCCATAGTGACAGACCACTTCACTGATGTGGAGCTGTTGTGTGACTTGCTTGAGGCAAGTAAGAAGAGATTTGTCTCAGTTCATCTCCTTTTGGACCATTTAAACCTGAGCATTTTCAGAAATATGTGGCAGGAGCTCAAACTCCAAGGCAAGGACTTTCCTGTAAGTCATTTTCATGTTCTTTCTTTAAGTAGGTGAATAAATTTATTCAAAATGCGCTCAACAATACAGTTTCTTGAGAATGTAATATGTGTTCACTTGAAGCTTTCCCCTCATATTATCCACTGCCCACACATGGGAATTTCTGATTCATTCTTTGCATTTCACCATGTGACTGCTATGTTTACATGGGTAGGTTTTCAAATATGCAGTGCTCAGAAAATAACTCTAAACCAGATGATGACTTTTGTTGACACATTTACCTTTACTTGTACTTTAAGTGTTATAACAACTTTATACAGAAATCATTTCATTTTTAAAGGCCTATATATTCTTGTGTTTCTCATTCTAGAAATTCTCAGTACACAGCGTTGAGGGACAAACCTACTGTGCCAAGACAGGTAGGAAGCTGAGTGGGCAAATATCAGAAACTTTTATCATCACTGACTCAGCAGAGGCTCTGGCTGGATCCTTTAGGTACAAAACCATTTTATTGGAATTACAATTATTTCTGGGTTCTAATTTGCACTAATTCCTATATATTCTTATTACTACAGTTTCTCCTGTCTCTCCTGGATGGTCCATCGAAGTCTGGCTTTCAGTGCTAAAGGCAGCTCTGTCACATATTTCCTTGAGGAGTTTGAAGACTCTCCTCTTGTTCAATACCAGTGACTGGATTCATCAATGTGTCCCTCTTACCTCCATTTAAAACAAGTTTATATAAAAATGAAGAACAACCAAAGGTCAGACCAAACACGGACATGGATCGCATCGGGAACTGGATTGAAGATGGTTTAAACAGTCACAAAACGGAAAGGACACAAACTAACGTTTTCTCAGCTCAATATTTAATACCTTTTAGGCAACCAGTGATGCAGCATGTGTGTATGCACAAGTTTACACACCCAACACTAGGGGGGGTCCCAGTACAAGATCATTCTAAAAACAAAGGAAATGTTTTGCATGGAGAACACACTCAAACAAAATCCAAATTTCAAAATAATCTTGCTCCATGCGCACAAAATAGCCTTAATCCTAGGATAACAGGGACAACCCGTCCAAAATCTACCCTGCTTGCTCACAGACAGGACAAAGCTATTGGTTCCAGCACCCAGAATAAGGACCTAAATAAGGGTCTCTATAGTTTTAAATGTGAAGATTATTGGACTCAGAGACAAAACAGGGCCAGTATTACACCTACTAGTATTGCTGCAGGCATCAACAAACACAAAAGAGAACGCAACACTTCACAACCCAAATCAAGTAACACTGATAATTCAAAGGTCATGCAGCCTTTCATGTCACAAGTAAGGGACGTAAAGCAGCATGTTCAGTCTGCCTTAAATGGTGCTTGGGGGGCAACATATGAGTTACAAACTAAAGTAATGTCCAATGGGATCAAGACACACGACCAGCCCTTGCCACATCACATTCTCAGGCCTCAAACACAGACACGATCCCCAACCACCAGCATTTCAACGGAACCAAAAGAGTCCAAGCTGTTCTCGCCAACTCTAACAATAGGAAGACGTGCACTAGAGCCAAAAGCCCCTCAGCAGGTGAAACCACCTTCAAGAATGGCCTGGATGATTCAAAATAACACCATGAGAGAAGGAACAGTGCCGCGACAAAACTCATTTAACTCTTATGACACAGTTCAACAGATGGATGGACACATTAACAGGATGCAGTTTCACAGAGCCTCAGCAAAACCTTTAACAAGGAGCAAAAGCATGATTGAGAGAGCAGAAACACGAACAAATTTAAAGTAACAGCATTTTAGTTTGCATGATTTTCTTCAAAAGATGCAATGCAGATGAATATGCAGATGGATTTATTTACATATTTTATAAAGTACATTATCAAGTATATTGTATTTGTGTCAAATTTGTCACATGTTTGTGTTTGTCTGAGTCTGTACAATTCTGTCCCACCAGCGCTCTCTGAAGCTCTGGACACACATGGTGGCCAAACTTTCACCGTCCTGGTAATCCTCTCTCATCTTCTCTGGAATAAGATCTTCTGACATTACCTAGAAGACAGTATATGTTACGCCACATTGTTTAGGCTAGTGCATTGCTTTATTGTTCCACCTACCTCTGTCAGACTCTGTATAGTTGTTTCTGTAGGATTTAGGTGCTGGAGAGCCGATTCCGTCTCTTCCAGGGCCTTTTCACTGCGTTTTAGCACAAAAGAGGACTGTTGCTGTTGGAGGATTCTCAGCAAAAGTCTAAAAGGGTAAAAATGTATCAACATAACACTATAACTAGACAATTTTAACAGTGTTTCAGGCTATAACATCACATTATTATGCCAGTTATATTTTACCTGGACCTGATAAAACATGTACAAGCTTTGAGCCAGATTGTGTCTTCTTTAAGAACTGCAGTCTCTTCACTACTTGGCAATTCACAACCATGATCTTTTGGGTAATCTAGTAAAAAAAAAAGGAGTTGTTTGCAATAAGTGATCATTTTAATCTTATTAATTTGCTCTTACCATCTTAAAAATTTAACAATACCTGATGTTTTGTCACTGCCAAGTAGGTGCAAGCATGTGTGTCCCAAGTCAAGCCAGTGCCAAGGGTTAAAAGGTAACAGACTACAAAGTTGCTGCAGACATAATATCTTTGCTCCCACATCTCCATAATGGTGGTATATACTGACCTTTACAAATAGATAGCATTTTTTAAGTTTTAAGCAAGAATAAAATGGCATTCAGGTAATGTTATAACCTCTATGGAGACAAGGAGCACACCAGGAAAGTTATGCAGTGCTCCTTTAAATATATACAGCAGAATAAATTATGCCAACCTTGAGTAAAAGGAGAGAGGTCAGATGGCATGTATTGGAGGCTTCTTTGTTCTAAAAGTTACAAAAACACATTATTTTTAAATGATTGTATTTGCATGTGACAACACAAACTTCAGAAAGTTCAAAATCATTGGAAACTAGAAAAGCACTCAGAGAGCGCAGACCTCCGCCAAGGACTACCCCCATTTTTTATATAAATTGCGATAAAAATCAGTCTTCTGGATCAGATCCGGATCAGTCTTTGGAATATGAAAGAGGATCCCATTGTCCATCCCTGAGTCAAATTTCATGGGGTTTGGTCAATAATTAACCGAGATATATTTTGGCCCCATTTACCACAATGTTAACTAAAATTTCAAAGTGATCCAGAATCCAGGATTTCTTCTGGATCACCCCCAAAATGAAATCAGTTCTTCCTTTTCACATTTCCAACAAATCATCAAAATCGGTCCATAACTTTCTGAGTTATGTTGCTAACAGACAAACAAACAAACAAACACAGACAAACGCCGGCAAAAACATAACCTCCTTGGCGGAGGTAATAATCTGTGACATACCAGTAAATCTACAAGATTCAGTGCCCTCTCTTTCTGTCCCATTTTGATGCAGCATCGGGCCATTCCCTCGAGCACATCTCTCCTGATGTTCAAGTTGTTATCAGAGATCCAGTCGAGACATGCGCGATAGGCTTCAAAGGCTTTCTGAGGGTACAAAATATGGACATGATAGGAGATCATTTAAGCAATTAAAAGTAATAATAATAATACGTTTGTGTAATGAATATACCTGATGTTCCCCCTTTCTCACAGCCAAATCACCTCTGAATTTCATCACTTTCTGCTTCTCCAAAGAATCAATTGTATCAAGAGCAACATCAACACAATACCACTGTGAACAAGAATATGTTAGAATGTGATTTACACATTTTAAAACGAAAACAGTAAGGCTCACCTGGGGCTCGCAGACTTTGGCGTTGTAAGATTTCAGAGCCACGGTCTCTCGGTCCCTCGCTTCTATAAACATAGAATCGTCAAACGTACTGCCTAAAAGTTCCATTATATGTCATGAACAACACACTTAAAGAGAGTCGCAACTCGTTTCGATAAATGCAGATAATGACTTAAAAAATATTTGCAGTGCGTGATCCCTACACAACTGTATATGTACGGTTTTAAGAAGTGCACGGTTAGTACAACATTTATATAATGGTTCCGTTAACAAACGTTCCGGCCAGTTAAAAGGTTAGTTCATGTGCTATTCAGTTAACTTATTTTCCGCTTCGATCCAACATAGATAAAAAGACAAATCTTCTGAGTGTACAACTACATGTTCTCGTTTTGGTGGCGTGTGTGTGAACTGAGCTAGATCCACTGCTCTTCATCTCAGCCAGAAGAGACTGTCCAGAAGATACTGTCAGTGTCACATAAGATCCCAAGTGACATGAGAGAGTTTACAAAATGACATTTATTATTACAATAAATTGAACAGCGTCTACTTTGCCAAAAAAAAAAAAAAAAAAAAAAAAAAAAAAAATCTGCCTTACAGTTAAAACACTTAGATCTCAGTTTGCCATAAAACATTCAACCAGCTGTTGATCTAAATACAGAGTACACATGAGGACTACAGCAGAAAGAGAGAAAAAACACAGTGGACATTCTTAGTATTTAGCTCTACTGCACAAATCAGAAATGTAAAGTCGCAAGCCCTTTACCTCACATAAAAATGCTTAAGAAAAATATTAGAAAACTCCGTATCAACTAAGACAGAAAAATATTTTGCAATAAATGTAAAGTTTTAAACATAAATAGAATATAATTATCCTAGGATTTTCACAAACTAAAAGAGAATTTCCTTAATTTGGTTATGATTTTTTTTTTGTTCTACTTAAATTAATTTATAGTGTCTTACAATTTTGGAAAAAAGCGAAGCTGGTCAAATTTTTTTTTGTATATATATTTGCAGTTCTTGAGCCATGACTTTACATTTCATTGCTATCTATATACCAAAAAGCGACAATCTAAAAGAAAAAAAACAGCATTTGAAAACCACCACATTATAGCACACATTTTAGGAGTTTATATTGTTTACAAATAAACCACTAATATGTGGACAGAGTTGCAAGGACACAGTTAATAGATAATGAATACAGACCCATTCAAAACCATGGACTGAAAGAATACACTGGAAATGAGACGTTATAACAAGGAACAAGAGCAAAGCAAAACCTGTACAAAAAAAAACAAAAAACATCACTAAGACAAAAGGGATAATAGATAAAGAGAACTAGATTAAGCAAAATGCAACTTTTACAGTGTTTACAAAATGTGTTGAAAAAGTGGGTGCTTAAAGCTACCAAAAAAACGGTTAGGCTTTAACTGTCCCACACAGCCTAATTATCATTGTGTGTACAAAATATGCAATTGATAGTTATTGCATGCACGATTAGACAAAGATATAGCTAAATTTTTTGTATTGCCAGGCACTTGTCACATGAAGAGTGTAACACACTGAAAGCTTAATCTAAACGCTACTAGTTAGTACAGTTGATTAGCAGTGAGCACACAACACAGGGTTGGATTGTGACAAATGCCTGGTGTGGAAATACAAAAACATCACCTAGATTCAAGAACTTAAACTAGAGGATATCATAGCATAACCTCAAGAGTTTATAGGCATCTTTGAACATCACCAAGAAAGAAAGCAGAGCTTGACCATGCCTCACTTCTTAGTTTGAACAAGCAGCACTTCTTATCGCCTTTTCTTTCCCAAATTAGTGTGATTCTGTTCAACCAAGAGTACAAGCCATGGAGGCACAAAGGTTTCTTTACAAAGCTTCATTGTTGCTGCTCTCCCACCACATGCCCCATCAGCTGTGCATCTGTCTGTGTGATTCACCAAGACGAAGCAGTACAAACATCTACAGAGATATGTCTCGGGAGTGCATACCATTATTCAGAATATTAAGTTGACGGGAGGAAAGGGGCAGACGGAAATGCATTAAAGTGAACACATGAAAATTGGCTCATATTGTGCAATTTAGTGACTGATTGTTCAGCTATTTTTTGAGCCATACAAACATACACCTTATATTTGTATAAAAACAAATACGCTGCCAAGGTCCCTCCTCCAAAAATAATGAAGCATAAAAAGGCAAAATACTGGTTTAGCTTTTAGCTATACAAAAGATTTGGTCTCTCAGAGCCATTTTATGGTATCATAAGAGATTAAGGTGCCAAATCAGGGTTTAGTCCGACAAGTGCACATGTGGACAAAGTGCATTTAAAGGTTTAGTAGGTGCTTAAGATTATTTTAATTCAGTGCAGAATTGAGTCAAACATTACTCAAAATACTGTTAGACAGTGTCCGTTAAGGTTTGACCTTAATATTCACAGGCCTCATTTTATGTTGCGTGGATGATTGAAAATTCATTGCTGACTGACTGTTTTTGCTGTCTGTTTGAACTGTATGTGGCAATTAAAGCAATACTTTATGGGAAACAGTTAGCACAGCTGTGTATGACTTCACAGTTTTGTGAAAGCTACAAAATAATAATTGCCCTGCGAACAATGGTTGTACAATTGTTACATATAAAATATTACTACAGTTTGTTTGAAAGTTTGACAGAAACAGTTGTTTGCAGTCTCTGCTCTAAGCTAAGTGATGTAGCAGATTGCCCCAGAAAGCAAATAAAAGACTTAATACAACTTGATAAGGTTACATTGAAAAGTCAGAAGTACCATTTCTATTTTCGTTTGACTGAACTTGAAGACTAACACACTGTGGCAACTGTTCACAGATTGTGACTTCACCTCACTGCTCAGAGGGCAACACATTCAACTTTGGCACAATAATTAACATGATAAACCACAAAGCAGAATGCCATACTTTCGCTATTTGAATGAAAGTATGAATTGCAGAGCATTCTTTTCAATTTCACCCCTAAATATGCAGTTATCCAGTTAAAAAACATGTAATAATTAAATTACTACCAACATAGGGGTGTATAAAGGGAAGACTTACTTAGACATCTCACATCCCAAAATCCAATGGTACCGTCTGAATTACCAGTAGATAACCATCTTTCAGTGTCAGCAATAATATTTGTCAGTTCAAAAGGCTTGTGGAAATCATCACTACTGGTTCTGGGATTGTTGCAGGTGCTAAAAATGACAAGTAAACAGGTAAAACAAGCAAATATTCAAGTCCAGTCCTCCATCAGGATGTTGCTCAGCAGTGACATCTAATGGTCACATGTGAAAACAATCATTTAAGCACCCTCGTAAACACAACACATCAGGGTTTGGCCTCTGCAGTTTGTTTAGGGCCAAAGGTGAAACATCCAAGATGAAGATAATAAACGCAGCATCCTTCTGTCAATAGGACTTGTCTGTTTGCGACAGCATTCAGGCCTAAAGATTGTGTAGGAACGTCTTTTTGGAGTTTTTCTTGAACCTCAGTTGAGGATTGCACTTCATGGTATTACTTATTGACATTACTGTTCTAAACAACAATAACATTTGGTTTTCAGTGCTTCTAAGACAGTCATTCCCAATCAGGATTATTATTACTCTCAGGATTATTATCCATTCTAAAACACTAAAGCTAATATCCATAGTCTCCACATTTGTTAAAAAATACAGTGAATAGAAGTGTGCACTTGTGCACACAGGTGCAAAAAGCCTTGATTATCCAGCATTTGTCATTTCAGCATTGTTTCTCTTGCACCATTTGAACTAATCCAAAATCATCAGTCTTCAGAAACAGACAGTGATTTTCTCACGCTTCGTGAAGGCTCCCAAACCTCGCTGTCGTCCGAATCCTCTCCATCCTCCTCATCTTCATCCTCATCATCCTCTCCCATCCTCTCACCAGACTGCTGTTCTGATGGAGCCTGCGTGTCATCTCCCTCTCCGAGTGGCCTCCGGACAGCCGTCTCCTGGAAGGGATCTAAACCCATGTCCAAACGTCTCTGGACTTCAGCAAACCATTCTCTCACCTATAACACAACCAGACACAAGTTTGGAACCATCATTACAACCTAATTAATTTGAAATACTTTCTATGCTGTACATGAATGCGATATAACAGCATTTCCCTGACCACAGACTTTACCTGTTCATAGCTCATGTTGCTCTTGGTGACAAGCTCATCCAGATCTTGCTCATTGAGGAAGCGGTGCTTTAGGTAGTAATCTTTAAGAACATCTCTGCCACTCTTGAATTTCTTTGGTGGAGGCACATCTACATCTGCACTGTAGGAGGTCGATCTTCTTGTCTGCCTTCTTGTCCGTGAGCGACCCCAGCCACGATTCCTGCCACGTCTTTTCCGACCACCTCCTGTTTTAACTGCTCCACTGCTTGATGCTTCAACGTTGCCACTTTGGTACTGAAAGAACCACTTAAGGTTCCCATTCTTCCAGGAGTATCGTGAGTCTCCAAACCAGCTGACAATGTAGGCGCGAGAGAGGCTACTCTCCTCTGCCAACTGGTCATACTCCTCTGCTGTTGGCCATTGGTTTTTAACAAAGGCACACTTCAGTATATGCAGTTGTTCTGGAGACTTTTTACCTTTATCTTTCACATCTTTGCTGGTGCAGCTTGTGGATGGCAACTCTTTATTTTGGCCTCCAGGGGGAGTTTGGTTCCCCTTTACAGATGCAGTATCACCGGTTTCTCCACTTTCATCTGCTTTCACGGAGTCCATCTCCCCCTTGCCCTCCTCAGAGTCTGGAGAGGAGACACTGGCTGCTGGTACTTTCCGCCTTTCTGTGAACCAGGCATCAATCTCTCGACGTGTCAGTTTGGTCTCTGCCCTCAGGCGACTCAGCTCCTCGTCAGAGGGAGTACTGCTCTTCTCAAAACTCTCCTCCAACACTACCAGCTGCTCTGGTGTCTTCTCCTTAAACTTCTGCAGAGTAAAATCAGGAAATGGATTCCAAGATTTTGATCGAGTTTCCCTATCTTTAACAGGGGGAGTATGGGGAGGATTGGGCGAACAGGGGGTCTCATCACTTGAGTCAATAACAATGGTGGCATTAGCACTACTACCACCTCGAGCACCATCCTGAACCATGATTATATGGCTGTTCTTAGAGTTACGCTGGTTGTACCTGGTGTCGCTGAACCATTTCTTGATTTCACCTTTTGTTAAGTTTGTTAGCTTCATCAGGCGTGCAATTTCCGCATCAGTAACAAAGTGGTTTTTCAGGTAGCTTGCTTTTAATTCTGCAAGCTGCTCTTTGGACTTCTTAGGCCGCATACCAAATGTGTCAGCACAAAGTGCTGAGTTCTCCTTTAAAAACATAACAGAAAGTTATACATTAATTAAAAATATAATTTAACTGCAAATGTGAGTAATTGTGTCACCTGTGGAGAGAGTGAGGGAGGCTGGACAGTTGTGGCTCGTTTCAGTTCACTGTTGGAAGAGCTGGATTGGGAGGATACTCTGCTGGAGCTCTGGGACTGACTGGGCAGTCCTGCCACAGTCAGAGTGATAGGGCTCGTCACAGGGAGATTTCCACTTGGGCCAACCTTTGGTGACAGAACAAGAAAAAGAGTGAATAACTGCATACATGTCATAGTCATGATGACTTTGTTACACACTATACACACACAATACACTAAGACTACACAAACCTGTGTGAAAACCAGGCCAGACTGACCCACAATCTGACAGGTCTGGAGAATAGATTGCAGGCCATTGGCGGCTGCTGAAAGCTGATGAGCAGGGATGACAGTGATAGTCTGTGGAACTGTGTGCACTGTGCCATTAAACTGTTTCCTCCGAGCCTCCTCCACCTCTTCTGGGGTCCAGCTGACGCCATGCTTTAGCCGCTGAGCTGAGAACCACACCTGCACAAGACATGTAATACATATACATATATTATCTCCTTCCAAGCTCAGGTCCTCTACCAGAGGCCTGGGAACTTCAAAGCATTTTCCATCTCTTCTTTGAGCCCCTGGTATTTCTCTAGTTTCCTGTGTTCCTTTTTCCTGACGTTCCCATCATTTTTATTTATACATTGCATTGTCTTCCACAAAAACTTTGCCCTGTTGTTTATTCACCACAATATCCAGTTGGTTTGCCATCACCATTCTGTCAGTCTGTATCTGGATGTCCCACAGAGTTTTGGCTCAGTCGTTCTTCACCACTTTGGTGGTGTTTCAGACCTTGACCCTGGGGTCTCCAGTCCATACTGTGCACAGATGTTCCTGTACACTTTGCACACCACTTGATTATTCCACTCCATGTATGTTTTCCCTGCCAACATCTTACACCCGGCAGTATATATATATACATACATATACACATACACACATATTTTTGTGGTTCTCCACACATGTGTAGAAACTATGCATGTTAAGTAGAAATGTCCACAGTAAATATTTTATTCACCTTGATTTGTTCCTCAGTGAACTGTGTCTGTGCTGCCAGGCTGCTGATCTCAACCATAGAGGGATAAGGAAACTTCTTATATGTGCTGCCCAGAAGAGGATTGGTGTCCATGGCTGCACTGTAGGAGGGGATGCTACTGAGAGGAATCAGGAGTTGAGGCTGGACTGCTGTAGATGCTGTACTCTGCTGGGCCTGAAAAGCAGAAAGAACCTAAGACAAAGGCAACAAAAAGAGTAAATAGCAAATAATTCTAAGTTACTGCCACTGAATCATATACAAAATTAATTATTCAAGTTATTGAGACATTGAAACAGGACCTACTTGTGCAAAGCCAGGAGACATAACAGTAGGATTTAAAAGAGATGATTTCCTATGCTGCTCCAGTGGAGGGCTGACCAGCAAACCTCCTCCTCCCAGTTTCATGGAGTCGTGTAGCAACATGTCCACAGGTGTCATAGGTCCCAAAGGGGCTTCGATGGGCTCTTGCTCTCCTCCCACATCCCCTTCACTGCCTCCTCCAAAACCCTCTGCTGCTTCCTCTGTCGATTTGAGGGACACAGCGATCCTCTTTGGCTCAGATTTGGTCTTCAGCCTCATGATTGGGGTCTTGCTGAGAGAGATGGCATTGACACTTGTGGGGTCTGCAGCGCCCTCATCAGGGGTGTCATTTTGTGGTTCAGTGCTTGGCTGGTCGCTGCTGGCTTCTTCTGAAGGGTCCATGATGCTTTGCTTTGTAGAGGGACATATTAAATCACTGTCCTCCATAGCTGAAACAGTTGGATCATCTAGGACACAAATTGTTTTCCATTTACATACAGTTTATTGCATAACATTCAACAAATATTTTTACATTTGCTTTTTATAACAGTTTTAACTTAAAAGAAATTTGTTCATTTATTCCACTTATTTCTGGTGTTAAGTGTAGATATCTAATGCAATGAAAATTCCAATTGCATTACATTTGGTTACAATTGGATTGGATTTCTTTTCCTAATTGTAATTACGTTTTACAAGGGCATAGTAAACAGTTTGTTCTGACTCTGCCTGAGTCTAGCGGTAGAACATTCATTAATCATTTATATGACTGAAATTAAGTGTTCATGTCTTTGTTCATGGCTTGCTGAATAAAAGCTTCTTGCCTGTATCTGAAGGAGTAGGCACAACTACTACAGTCTGGTTCAAGTCCTGGGCCGGTAGGGCATCTTTTTCAGGCTCTTTCACGCCCACCTCTGTCTGTTGATCCTGGGGCCCTTCGGCCCTTGGCTTCACCTCTTCCTGCTCCACCACATTAGAGGGCACCACCATGCAAGGTGTAGTGGATTTTCGACGGCTTGACATTTTTATGTCTAATAACAAACAAACAAACAAAATTATAATAAAATAAAACAACAGATCAATTATGAGGTTTAAGCTTTTATCTAACAATTACCACATACAATACTGTTTATTTTGCTTTGTTACACATTAACAAGGTCATTTGTAATTAACTTCTAATTAATAATGTCCTCAAGTTCCGCAAAATGAGCAGTTGAATTTCTTATGCTTAGTTACTTACCTAACCTATGCCAGTTGTATAACATACACTTGTATAACACATACTTTATTTTCAAAATAATGTGTTGTCTTGAAAAGTATTTTATGGTTTAGTTTGCCGTATAGCCTGCTTGTTTTTATACGATTAAAATCCTAAAAGGATTTCCAATAAGAGAAAACTATATACATCATGTGTTTTAACATTAGAGATCGTTTACAACACAAGAAAGCGCAAAACAACTTATATACATGATTAATGAAGATGCAAAAAAGCTTTACATTGCACACAAAGTGCCTGCATTTGTTCGTAAGATTACATGGCGTGTACGTGAAGCGGGCCAACTAGCCCTTGTTAGCTGGGCCAGTCACTGTTATTGATCATGTCTGGCAGTAAACTTACAGAACTAGAGAAATGTGTGCAACCAGGCAGTTGAGAGAAGACAGAGCGAGACTTCCTGGATCAACATACAACGCTCCAGATGACCCTCCGATCCCCGGCTAAGCATTCAGGCTGCCGTGGCTCACAGGTTTCCAAACCCGGCGGAGGCAGACAGGCGGACCGGTCTAACTGCTACGGCTCCCGTGTGCAGATGCTCAAAGCACCGGGCATCTTTCTCTCCGTCGGAACAGGTTAAAATTACAGATACACTTTCGTTCTTATAACGCTATACGCCCCAAAACGGGCCGATAAATGCGGGGTTTCCTCTGGTATAGTGTTACTTTGCTGACCCAATTCTCTGATATTTTTAAGGGCAGATTTTTAATGATCAAGCAGCGTCATCATTCAGTGATACGCGTTGACGTCATTCCATGGCGACTCCCAAAGCTTCCTGTAATTTTTGTCACATTTATACTCGTTTCATAGACCTATTTCATTGTTGCCATGTGTCCAGAGTGTGATTGAAGTAATAGCCTTTGCTTTGGCCTAATGAGCCATCATATATTGAGTCAAACAGCTCGTGAACCTGTTACTTAACGTGTTTGGCTGCCCGTCTGTCCTTACGTGACCCGCGAGGGCAGCAACAGAAGCTACGTGAGGACAGCACGCGCTAGTTTGATCGCTTTCACTGAAATTGCATTTTCACTTTTACTTTTATAAATGCCCTACGCATAAACAAGCCTTTCAGTGAACAACATAATATATTATGTTATGCGTTTATCTAGCTGCATCTCTCAGATAATTATAGAATTAACTTTATTAACTATTTGATGGATATTCGGACCAATCTGGATCAATGGAAACGCCATATGAATATTTTACTTGCAGTGTATTAAGAGTGTTAAACCTGTCCTGCTCATTTAAAAATCAGGTTAGGGTTGTCAACCAGTATCTCCACTTTGTTTTGATTATGGTTCTCAGAAAATACACAGAAGCATTTGCTGTAAAATTAATACTACATTTAATTATTTAAAAAACAGTATTACAAAATTAACCATTATGCACAGTGTTATGAAAATATTCTGCAATTACACATTGTATTTGTAGAAATGTCAACAGAAGTCTTTGATTTCATATTCCAACTCCTGAAAAGAAAAACAATTTCCAATTAAATTTAGCAGAATGGTACTAAAGCATTTATGTACTTATTGTAATTACATTATCACATTGTGACAAACCTGTATCAGTGCCGTTTTATTGTATTCCCGCCGATGTCTGTAGATGGTCTGACAGAGAAGGGCATACAGTTTCTCAAGCCGGTGGACCTCATAGCCCTCAGTCTTCACCACCAACCTCTTCAGCAGCTCCTAAGCAACATATGTTACATTGTTTAATATTTTTTATTAGTACAAAAATAAGGCATACAGCAGGTAATGTTTTACCTTTAGTTTGTCTCGGTCTACCTCCAGAGGGGGAGTCTCCTCATCCAGAATTTGCAGAGCTTGATCCACATTGATCATCTGTTGCTTTTGAACAGTGGTTTTTAGAGCCCGTGTCATACGTCTCACAGTCCGCTCTTAGACACAGAAGGTTAAAATTATGTTTTTTATTTTTTGCTTAATAAAATCACAGGCTTTAGATTTTAGAACAGTAATGGGGAAAAATTCTCACCACCATCATCCTCTTTTGAAGTTTCATCCACCTCCATTGCTTCACTGTGGCTTTTTACCTCAACGTCCTTTACACTTTGCAGGGTTTTCTCCACTTCCTTGTCTGACTGACCAACAGCATTACTGCTTTGTAATGCCTCAGACTGTTCTTGGACATGTGCCTCTTTTGTTGCTTCACTGTTATTTTGTATTAGTGTTACTACTTTGGTTTCACTTTTGTCCCCAGTTCCATCTTCATTTTGAGCCTGACTGTACTTCTCCAATGTGTCACCTTCCTTATCTTCTTCTGTAACAGCTTGACCGCTCTGCCCCTCTTCTTCATGATGTTGTGGTTCCTTTGCAGGCTCTACACTGACTATCATGCTCCGTTTTCCGTTAGCTCCTTCCTCCTGTGACTTGTCTCCTCCCTTGTCACCCTCATCTTCATCATCCCCATCCTCTTCCTCATCATCAGACTGCGTGTCATCTTTAGCCACATGCGGAGAGAAGGAAGCCCTTTTTTTTGCAATGAATCCAGAAGCCCAGCGACGTCTCCTTCGTCGCCTCTTTTGACCTTCAAGAACAATGTTAATGTTAAGATGAATAATCAATAAATGTAATTTTGATTCAGATTTGTGACTAGAATTGTATTTAGTTTCATTTTGACATTTTTACCTGAGCTTTTGGGAGTTGTAGCAGTTGTAACAGATGTTGCAGGAGTGACGGCAGAAGTGCTGTTGGCTTCTTCTCTTTGTGGTGTGGCATCACTAATCTTGGCGTCACCAGCCACTATTCTGGGCTGTTTTGGAAGGACATGGTAGAAGGAGGGAGCGAACATGGCGCTAGCACAACCTGAGGACATTCAAAATGCAGACCATGAATTTAATGACCCTTGAACAATGGTAACTTTTCTTAAAATAGATAAATATTTCACCTCTTGTTCTCTGTGATTCTTTTATCTCTTCACATATCTTCTCAAAATCTTCATCCAGTTCATCTTTAATAATTGCATGAACTGTGTCTTTTAATGCACAAGCTCTGTGCCTTATCTGACGATCTATCAAAAATGAAATTACATTACACCTTGTGTTCAACGTCTTAATGTTTTACCATATAATTGATGGTATCTGTATCTGAATAAACTATTCACCTGAGGGGTCTCTGTCTGGGTTGTACTCCAGTGCATTTTGCCAAATGAGATCCACATCATGAAGAAACTCTTTAACTGTCCCGTACTGATGCAGGTCTATCTTTGTGAGGACAGTTGAGAGGTCCATGGGTTTCTTAATCACTTCAGCATAATCTGGAACCTAAACAATTGCAGGATATAATTAGTCAATCAAAGGTAAAATAATGAAAAGAATCTAATTATACAGTAAGGCATCTTCTGAGAAGAGTAGACTCACCTCTTCTGTATCCACAGGCTTTGTGAAAGCTTTAAACCGTTTATCCTGAGACAGACGGTTGGTCACATCGCGCAGGAAGAGGCGGAGCTCCCTGAGAGTGCCCTCTTCCTGCTCCTGCAGTTTTTTAATTTCTTCTGGAGTCAGCTGACGAGGAGTAGAAGGCGGGGCCACAGGAAGCACCTCCAGTGCATGGAGAACTGAAAAGCAGATCCAATATGTTAAATAACACAGGTCGTTTAAATTGTGTTTGTTCTACACTTTCAGTTGTCACCTGCTTTCTTCTTTGAGGCAGGGGCCTTTGCTGCCTGGTTGAGGATTAGGTCCTCAAAGAAGTGTCTCCTTTCTTTGCTTGTAGGGACCTGAACGTGGAAAACTTCCCCATATTCCACTCGAAATAACTCCTGAACCTAGAAGGTAAAACAGGACATTTACCTGTTTGTTCTACACAAATGGAAACAAGATTTATATTAAGATTTGATACCTCTGTGCTGAGCTGGTCATATTGAAGACTGCAAGTTGCAAGCAACAGTATTGGTGCGAACGCAGGTATAGATTTAAGAAGGCTGAGAAAGGTGGCTCGTAAGGCTGGGCCTACAGTTTCCCACCACTGTCCAATGTGTGGAATGTACAAGATACTGGGAGATGTCCGCTTAGCCTCTACAAATATCTGTAGCATAAATTATAAAAATACTTTAACATTAAATCACAATCACCTAAAAATCTATAGTTTCTGACCTGAGCACAGGTCTCCTCTGGGGCAGTTGCACTCGCTCCAAACAAAACAGCCATGTCCAGAGTATAAACTGTAAACTTCTCCAGAGTGTGAAGTACAGCCGGCGCCAAGTGGGAGCTCTGCCCGGAGCCTGACCTGCCTTGAAGCAACAGCCTTGGGCGATATGATGTGGGCTGGCACAAAACGCTCCTGAACAAGAGATAGAATAAAAGACCAATTTTTAGTACATTTCTGTTGTGTTCTAATCACATTTTCTGTTTGTTACCATTTCATTTTACCGCCCCTACTTAAAGCCCACCTGTTGAGGTTAAAAATTTCCTTAGCAGATACAGTTTGGACATGGGACTGCCCAGAGGAGCAGACCTCTGATTCCTCATCACTGAACATCAAGTCATCTTCTGATAATCCCAAAATAAGATCTATATTGGACCACAAACCAACAAATATTTCAGGCTTCAGTGTTGAAAATTACCAAATAATTTTGTATCAATTAAGTACCTTGATCTCCCTTTCTCTTAAGGCCCAACTCAGCATGTGGGAACAATTTCTTGACTGTCTGAAGAATGGTTTGTAGCGCAGCATTCAACAAGGGACGGATAGCAGGGATTAGCGCTTTTGCTGGTGAGGCTACAGCTCTGTAATATAAGAATACCCAAAATATAAATCAGCTAATCAAAAATAACTGTAGTAAAACAACAATGCACAAGGTAACATGCAACTTACCTTTGAGCAGCTGGCACCATCTTAGCCATGGCTGTCATGAAGTCTTTGCTTGTAATGGCAATCGAGTTGACATCAAGCACCAGTTTTTGAGATGAGGAGTAAATCTGTGGGTAACGACGGCGTAATGCACATAAAGCTGCTTCAGAACACACAGCTTTGATATCTGCTCCACAATAACCTAGTTTAACAGAAAATCAAGTATATCATGGTTGTAATGTTTTTATCAATGAGATTAAAGTCTAAAGACAGCTCACCAACACATTTGTCTGCCAGTTCTTCAAGGAAAAGGTCTGAAGGAGGAGGAGTCCATTGCCGAGTGTGTATTTTCAGGATGTCTTTTCTTGCCTACCATAATTTAATATAAAAATAATTTTGCCTCATAAATACAATACATTTCATAGCTACCATCATTAACACACGAATACAAACTCCTACGTGTAAGACAATGATGGTCTCTCACCTCTCTGTCTGGTAGTCCAAAGAGAAACTCTCTGTCAAAGCGCCCAGGTCGTCTGAGAGCTGGATCAATGGAGTCCAGTCGGTTTGTGGCCCCAATCACAACTACCTCTCCTCTGCTATCTAACCCATCCATCAGGGCAAGGAGAGTGGACACTATTGAACTAATGAAAAGAAATGTTGGTCCACATTCATGCATTTCACATTTAAACTGTTCTCCATTTCATAGGCAAAATACTGACCTGTGAATTTGATCTTGTCGACTTGATCTAACAGGAGCCAAACCATCAATTTCATCGAAGAATATAATAGATGGCCGCATTTGATAAGCCTGTGATGATTTAACAGAGAATTGAGCAAGTGTTTTTACAGCAGACGCTTTATTAATAGTGATTCAGTTACCTGATCGAACAGGAGCCGTAGCTGTCTCTCAGATTCTCCTACCCACTTACTGAGGCAGTCGGCCCCTTTCCTCATGAAAAAAGACACTTTTCTTTCTCCTTGACTACACTCATTGGCCAGAGCTCTTGCAACTAGGGTTTTGCCTGTACCTGGTGGTCCATAAAATAGACAGCCCCTAAAGAATGCAAAAATACAGTACATTTGTTACTTTATAACTAATTAGAATCAGATTTTTTTTTATTTGCCTTTGACAAATAACATTTAAACATTTCACCTTGGTGGTTGTATCTTAAATTTCTCAAAGACTTCTGGGTAAAGAAGTGGGAAGACCACCATCTCCTTCAGGGCAGAGATGTGTTTCCCTAATCCTCCAATACTATCAAAGCACACCTGTAGCAAACAAGCCAGTTTCAACCACAATAAAGCAAACAGCTTAATGAGCTGGACACATGTACTTTATGTGTAGCTCACTGTTCTGTCGATTTGCATTGGGTCCACATCAGCAAGACTTGCTCCGATCTTCATTCTGTCTTTGTGGATTCCAAGCAGGTCTTCTTTAACCAAATTCATAGGCAGACATCTATGACAATAAGAGAATTATATTATTTATATTCAGTAGCTCAATAATTTTTCATATTGACCGTTAAGAAGATGTTTGTCTTGTATAAATTAATAAAAGGTGGAAAAACTATCTCACAATAGTATTAAATCACACAGGCACAAGTAAAACCAGCTTCTCACGTCTATGTGTCTCTGATTACAACAGTTATCTCTTATGACACACCATTTCTTTCCTCCCCCTGGCCTAAAAAAAGATGGCAGTGAATCACTCGCTCACAGGCTTTGAGGTCACCAGCAGACTCACCTGTTAACAGACTTTGACCTGCTTTTACTTCTTCTTCTCTGGAATTTTTCATCATCTGAAGAAGATGAGGAGGAAGTGGAGTCACTGCTGTGGATGGCGTGTCGTCGTCTACCAGGGCAAAAATGTTAAATATCATTTTAAACTGCACTACTATTCACTTGTAATGTATAAAAACAAACTCGTCAGAAATACACCAAAGAAAGACAAAGATCTTCAAAAGGAAATCCCAGTCACAGCAAAATATATAGAACCATTGTGCCACTAAATTTAGTATTTAAATTTGAATAAACATGTGGTGCATGTGCATACCATTTATACAAACAGAACGTCTTACCTCTCAGAACTACTCCTGAGCAGAAAGAACCAGAAACAAAATAAAGGGTGTTTAAATAATGTAAACTTCCTTACTTACTGATGCAATAAAAAGAGTCAATCTTTTATATATATTTTGTGTACCAACCTACTGTTTCTCCTCCTGCTGTAAGGACTTCTTGGGGCAGTGGAGCTGAATCTAAACCTGCGTCTTGTTGGTGATCTATGATCGTATATACTGCGTTTCCTTGGCTCTCTGGGCTCTATAGCCAAAAGGAAAAAAAAATACACGAGTACTTCTTAACCAAAAATATACATTTATGTCATCACTCAAATCTTATGCCACATACCTTCTTGTGGAGCCTGGTAGCGAACCACTGTCTTTCGTTGTCTGAAGTCATAGCGTTTTTGGTTTTCCTCTTCTTCATCTTCACCATCATCATCATCATCCTCCTCCTCCTCCTCTTCCTCCTCCTCATCATCATCGTCGTCCCCATCTTCATCCTGTTCATCATCTTCTTCCTCTTCTATGATGTATTTGAACAATAAGCTTTAAATAGCATATGCCAATTGGATAAACAATGCAATATATTTAGTTTTTACCCTGGTTTTCTTCTTCCTCTACATCTTTACGCTCCACATTGGATGTTAGTGAGCGAAGTTTACCTCTTGTGTACATTCCCAGCCCCTAATTTCAGAAAACATTTTATTATAAATATTTTCTCAAATTCTCTAATTAATTTAAAATTTTATATTGTTAATTTGCAAAGTTTTACTTGTTCTTGTGTTCTTGTCTCTCTACTCCTCCTGCGTCTCATCTTCTGCATGTCATCCATCTTTTGGAGAACAGCTTCTGCAGTGCTGAACAATCATCATAGAAGCAAAATGCATTTATTACTTGAATTTAAGTTCTTTTTCATCAACTTGTTTCCACAATATCCTTGCTTTACTTACTTGGTTATGAGACGATCATAGAGCACAGACTGTTTGCGTGAATTCAGCCTGTACCTGGTGATCCGTGAGCTGCGCCTCACTGTGTGATCTTCCTCCTCATCCTCAGTTTCTCCGTGTCTCAAGTTAAAACGGTTCCTTTTTGGGGTTGACGACTCTTCCACCTCATCATCTACATCTGAGCCTAAATTTTTGTCTTCCAAACAATAACAGAGAAAATTCAGAGCAAATACTCTTCATATTACAGAACATAATGAAAACAAACTCACCTACTGAAGACTTTCCCTCTTTCTGCAGTCTTTGAGATTTTCTAATAAAAAAAGTTTTAAGGTAACCAGTTATTCACAAAGTGCACGTCTCCTTTCTGATTGATACAATAAATTTCTGTAAACAGCTTTTACAGTACCTGGTGCAATATATGCCAGCCTTGTCATTATTCACAGGTGAGCTTGTCTTAGCATCCATGTTTGAAAATGACACTTCCAATTTAACTCTCTGTCTTCTGGTTCTAAAAGAGTGAGACTGGCTGCTCTGGTCTTCATTTTTGTCGTGTCCCTGGAAAAGCAAGGTATACCCATAAACATTCAAGCAGTCACAATCTATAACATAAAAATATAACAACACAGAGTTGAATGTTATTGCTCAGCTTTTTCTACCCTGAAGATTTCTCTCACCATAGATGATTAGGCTTAATAATATTTAAAATGTTTTTGTAATCCTGAAAGGTGAATTTAATTACAATCTTTTTTTTTTTTTTTTCACTCAGAAAAAACATCCTTCATATAAATGTGAGTACATTTTGTTCAGTTGCACTGTGAAAGATTGTAATAATGGCCCACCGTGTATACTTATAGGCCTGGATTATTTGGATCATCGGTAACACAGGCTGCTAGTTAGCTTAGCTGTAAAGTTTTAACACAGCACATTTTATAGTTATCCAAACACATTATTCCTATATTTTGGGCAAATTGTATAGCTAGCTAGCCTGTCTATGCATCTTACATTAGCAGCACTGCTGTTCTCGGGGCTGCTGAAACTGTCATCCAGGACCCGGGAGGAGCGCGTCACCCTGGCGGTCTTTCTCTGGGACGCGGGAAGGAGCGACAGAAACTCAGAGCTTGTGTCCAACTCTGAGGACCTTCTCTTCGGGGTAGTACCAGGCTCAGCCCCAGCATTGCCATTGCTACGTAGTATCACCATCTTGAATCCCAGCCGAGTTAAACGGCCATTGCCAAACGGATTAAAATAATGTTTACAGTGATAAAAACGTGAAGCACCGCCAGCAGCCCTCGCTTGAGTCCTCCAGCTGACAGCCCAACACAGCCCAACACAGCCCAACACAGGCCGAGCCTCTGCAAACCAAACCCTTCAGTTCTGGCGCCATAAACGTCATCGGGGTAGTGAAGAAATGACCTAGCAGCTTCCGCCTTAAAAAGTAGACCTCTGACAACATATAAACTGCATATGATCCCATATGAGGCGACGAACATGGAGTGATTTATTTCACATTGAGAGGTATCGTAATTAATACTACTTTACCTGTGATCATATTTAGAGTTTTTAGTTTGTACGATCCACGCGGACGAATAAAACTGCAAAAAACATGTTCCGGTTGTTTTTATTGGAGGCGGAGATTGTTTCAGGAGATTTTCACATGGATTTGAAGTTCTCTGGGCTCTACTGATTTCAAGCCTGAACAGTAAGTAAATGCAATTCAAAACTCTACCATTTGACTAATTACAAGTATTGCAGGTCAATGGTTAATCAATGACACTGATATGTGAACACCAAATCAATTTATTTCAATGAATGACAAATGAAATACAAACTTTTTTTTTAATTTTTGAAAACAGTACATTGTAAAACCAACAGACAACCTGATGCACTCATAACTTCCACTAAATAATTCTCACACCAACCGCATTATAAGGTGTAATGAATCAGATTTGTGACTTTCCCTGTTTTAATACGAAATAATACAAATGTATGTTTATCAATCTTTTTTTTTTTATTTGAATTCTCATTTTTTTCTTTAGATATTTAGTGGAAAATTTGAGGGCTTATTTTCTGCTGCACAAAAACCAAACAACTACATGACACAGCACTACAATGTGTCATGTCCATGTTGGATTAAGTGCCGTTTAAAATGTGGTCCTGTCACTGAATGGTATAATTATGCAATGGCTGCCAGATAGTCTTTAACTTCTGCAGGAGTGAGTCTTTTGAAGCCAGCCTCATTGCAGATTCCCACTTCAATGTTTTCTTCAGTCATTTGACCCTCAAAGCTCTCCTAGAATCCAGATAATAGTGATTTTAAAAAGAATTTAATTGCAAGTTGACATAGACTTTTCCTATTTATAACATGTTACCTTGAGTGTTAGGATGGCTGTGTGAATAGCATCTTCCAATTCCAGATCATTGTTGTACCTAAAAGAGAAAAAAGAATGTTGATTTCCATGTTAATTAGTAAATATGTTAAGAAAACAAAAATAAAAGCTATTCTCATGTAACCTTGCACAGTAAGATGGATTTGCGCAATATTTGTGAGTTAAATTTACAAGAATCCATCTTTGCATGTTCCCACTATTTTAGCGAAATTACTATTTCGTTGTTTGTTGAAAAATGTGCAGAAGGTAAACGCTTTGTGCTTTTGTGGACAGAGAAGATGTATGAGCTTTTCTGTCAACTAGATGTGGCTTTTTGGCTTGTTGGGATGCTTCGACCAATCAGATTCAAATACTCATCATGACGTTCCATGTTTTTGCTATCGCCTTCGGCAAAAGCCATTACAGATTGATCATCTGTAAAACTCAGTTGAACTGAATTAGTGGACTATACATATTAATCTGTCGTGAGCCAGATTATCTCATACAACCCAGTATTGCATAAAACAAGTTCCTAACAGAATCACTTTCCTACCTTTTTTCAAGGAATGTTTTTCCATTTACATAGTTTTTTCCCATTGCAGTGGCCTTCCAAGCAAAATATGCACCCTGCACAACAGACCAAAAGAAAACCGTTATTTAAGCCTTTTAACAAAATGTAAAATATACAACACACTGGACACGAAAATGTTAAAGACAATAAGAATTACCGATGGATCTGACTGGAACAAGTATGGATGGTCCTCATCCCATCCAGCGATGAGTAATGACACTCCAAAAGGCCGTACACCACTACAAAGATTACAAATATCAAAGTAAACATTTGTCAGTGTCCAAAATCTCTCAAAACTAAATCAAAACCACACATCTCTGCTCTAGTTATCAGATCATGTCCTGCCTTGTGTGACCAATAGCCAGGGACCCTTCTAATATTTTACACCTGTTAAAGTAGTTAGCATTCAGGCATAGACTGTGCTGTGCTGGCTGTAGAAGAGAGGAGGAATGACAACTCTAAATTATCACCGCAATTACACAGGTCATCTACTATGCTAACCTTACACTTTCGATTTCCCCTTGGTGAAAAGATAGTTCTGTCACAACTGACTGCTTTAACAGCATTGTTGAGTCATACACAGAGATGCAAGACAGACTGATGTATTTGCAAGACCAGTACTTTTTCTCCCTCAAGTTGGCTTGTGAGTTCAATAAGTCATGTATCCAAATCTGATGTACATTTATACGTAACAGTGTTAAACAAATCTGCCTTCATTACCCTGACTGTGTGTACTCCTGCATCACAGAGGCCACTCTCTGCACAAGCTGTCCCGTGGGGATTGGCTCCTGGTAAACCAGAAAGTACTGCTGTGCCAACTTGCGAGCTCGCCGAACAAGGACTCTGCAAAATATTCAATTAAAATAGAATTACAATTACACTTAAAAGTTTTAAATTAACTGTAATACCTGTAGTCTGGCCCCATGCCACTGTAGACCATGCCAATATGTTTTGTGATAGGCTCCACTTTGTGCACACTCTGCTCATCATAAAGAATGGACTTCTGTTTCTTCTCTGTTGCCAGGACAACTCCATTGGTTGCTGAAAAAAATGCAATATATCTCTTACACGTATAGCCTGCTGCACAAATACTGTACCTGTTAACATTACTACAAACAGGTTTCTAAAATGTTAATTATACATAGAAGTTAATCCAACAGTTACCTTTAATGCCCACTGAGGGTGCGCCTGCTGCTACCGCTGCCAGTGCATATTCAATCTGGACAAGTTTACCCGAAGGACTGGAAAAGACACAAACCAGAAAGTGAAGTGCTTTGTTTCAAAATCATAAAAATAAACAAATGGCTAAACCATTTAAAAAAAACAAAACAAAACGTGACTGATCATAGACTAAGTGACCGACCCATAACACCAGCCATAATGTTAAACCAATGGAGATTTAAATAATAATAAACTCAACAATCATTCAAAAATTGTCTGCCCCTATAGAATAGCAGATGTATTTAACTGTAGTGACCCAGCAGTTTATCAGGTTATTGCACGGTTCTTTCGCCAACTTTTCAACGTTGTTTTGGCTAATATATGTCTGCGATTTTCTTTTTTTGCACTACTGCCAGAAACATGACGGATTTCCATAGTGACGGGCGTTTGCCTCCTCCAGAAGGAGCCTGCTAAATAGAATAGAATAGATAAAGATTAATGCATATCTTATTTTGGTTTCGGTTTAGATTCTCGCAATGCTAATGGTAGCCCATTCGACGGGCATTAGTTACCGGGGAATGACTGTGCATCACCACCACCTGCTACAAAACATTATAATTTAAGACGCTTGCAAAGACAAAACTTGGCCTTATTTTGTTCTATATCAAAGACCACTTCACAGAGACTTAGGATAAAACGTATAAATCTTAAATAATTCGTTATTCCAAAATAGTTTACCTGAATGTAGTGAGAGAAAAACTGTAGCCTCGGTCCGCCATCTTGAGATATTTTTTCTTCTGCGCTTGATTGAGACTGCAAATCCACTTGAGCCCGTATACCGCCACCCAGCGACTCTACTAAGGATGACAAATTGTAAAACAGCATCAACTTGGGGAAAGGAAAATAAATATTTAGTTAGTAATATAATCGTAAACCTTTGTCATAACACAACATTATAACGTTAAGTGAACAATGGCGCGATAGTTTAAAAAGTGTGAATTTATAAATCAAGCAATAAAAAAATAATAAAATTAAAAAAAAAAAATACAATATCCGAGAGTCGGCGCTACCGAGCACGTTCGAGCATGATTCGCCTTTAAATAAAACAGAGAAGAAAATAATTTTGTCGCTTATTATTGACGCATGAAGCTCCGGTGACCGTGGGCTGTGCATGTTTAAGTAAAATACAGCGTGTAGAGATTAAGAAACATCATAGAGATTAAGAAACATGATGAATTTAGCCTCATTAGTGCAGAGTTTGAGAACGTCTTTGCTACACATTGAAAGCAGACTACTGCAAGCAGCAGGACTCGAGAGGCAACTGGGTAAGTTCAATCCATTCATAGACAAGATCACTCATGTGCCATAGTCTATAAACATAGACTGTATACACGTATATGACCTGTGCTCGTCCGTCTGTGTCACAAAAGAAAGATATTCTGTTTTTAGACATAGAATAAATATTATTATAGATGACCTATAATGTGGTATAGCCTGCAGTGTACCATTTTACATAATATTACTACATACTTCCAGGATCAAAATCTAATTTATAAATTAGCCTATTCTTGATCTACCATGGATGTCGAAGTGACTGTGAGCTTGGCTGTCTGGTCCATGGGCTGGTCAGACAAAATAATGGTTCAGTATTCTTTTCAACATATTTGATGCAAAGAGTTTCACACAGGGAGTTTTCAACAACTAGATATGTGCCTTAGATTATTTTCTCAGACCACTTAATTATTTAGACATGTCCTGGTTGGACAGTAAATAAACTAAATTAAATTGTATGTAATGAATTATTAACTTTCTCTCTCACTCTCTCTCTTTCTCTCTTTCCTCTCTCTCCTTCTCCAAATGGAAACAATAGATTTATACTTATAGTTTTGCTACTTACTAAATAACTGTTGACATGACAATGCACTTATGTGTATGTCTCTAGCTCCAGCATTATCTGTAAATGGCTCAAGTATTTTGCCTCAGCTCAACAATGAGCAGGAGTTTGAGGAGCAACTAGAAGGCCCAGACCAGCCCCCGGGTTTCCTAGATAGTATCCTGTGGATGGCTGCACCCAAAAAGAGACGTACTATTGAGGTCAACCGTACAAGGAGGAGATCCGAGAGCAAACTCTTAAAACTCAAGGTGAAATTTTACATTCCCTAGTAATGTTACTCACTGTTTTAGACTAACATTAATAAATTGTTTTTCTTCCTCTGTGTTTCTTAGACTAACATTGAGCCCTGTCCAGAGTGTGGCCATCTTAAACAGAAACACATCTTATGTGGCTTCTGTTATGCTAAAGTTTGTAAAGAAACTACCAAGATTCGTCAACAAATAAAAGAAATGGAAGGCGGACCTTTTGGTGCTCCAACAGTGGAGACTGTTGTCCTATATGAGGGAGAAACTCCAAGCGCACAAGACAAAGACAAAAGAATTGTAGAGAGGCCAAGAAAGCGCCCTGCATGGTTTAATGCATGATCTGCCTTTTTATACAGTTTAAAATCATAATCTCAAGTGGTAAATTAAATATTCAAATGTTGTATACATTGATGAGCCTCAGTGTATTTTCTTAACTGTTGTAAAATGTCTGAATATGACATTCTTTACATCTCTAATTCTTTCTTCAATAAATCTATAGTAATATGTTATTTTTTGTTATCTATAAAATGGTGCAGTCATCTATGAATGCTTGTTAATATTGTTATGCCTTGACAGTACTGAGATCTTAAATTAAATTACATTTTAGATGTAAAGAGTCAAATCATATAAACTAAACATTTTATAGTTAATCAAAAGTAATGAAACTAAAATTAACTCCACTTTCCCACTGGGCCTCCTTCAAAGTGCCTGTGTACAGAGGGCCGATAAACACCTATGTGATATGTAACTCTAGCTCTTTCTTAGGATAAATTTCCTGTATTTACTGGCTCTTTTTCAGCTAGATAAACACCGTCAAATATACACATGACACATTTATCTTTCTTCAAAATTTAATTATTTTGCACATTTAAGACAAATGGTTTTATTTCTGTTATACAAAAACACAAGTTTGGTTGTCCGTCAAAGTAATCGAAGCTCCCTGGGATTTCCAATGAAAGCCATCCTTTGAAATGCCTAAGATGAGAACATTGATGTGATGCAAAATGACTAAAAATAGAAACCACTGATATTTAAAAGGCTTGCAAAACAGTCTGAGTCTCTATACAGCACACAGAGTTTAGCATTATTAAGAGTCTGTTTCTTTAGAGAGGGGCACAAATTACTGATTCAATGAATTGCATTAGTCGTGGTGGTTGCTACCTGGTGAACTCCTTATGTGATGTTCAAGAGGAAAACCACTTGACAAAGGAGCGCTACCAGGCTTCTTGGATAAGTCTGGTGATAGAAACCAGACCACAATACAGGTACTTGTTTATTTAAAACAGAATGCACTGTGTACGTTTCTCAAAAAAAAAAATCTGTGTATGTTTTTTCATTTGACTTTAAGGCAAACCCTGTCAGACAAAAACTGTATTGGCAAAGAGAGTTATGAGCAGCAACAGGTGGTCCACTTTATTGTTGAGAGGAATCTCAACCAGACACTGAAGCTGAGGAGCAGAGACAGAGACATGACAGAGCACCAGTTACCAATTCTCCAGAAAATCAGAGGTCGTGTCAAAGAAGAAAACACCGGTGAATTCTCAAAACAAAAGAGAGAAATAGAGAGGACTGGAGAAGACCACAGTAAACCTGTTCAAACCAACTTCAAGGCTGTCAGCTTGATGCCTTTACCTCGGGAAATGTCTTTGGGATAGAGGAGAGAGTAACTTTATTGTTCACATGCAAATAATCTGGGGAAAAAAAGTTACACTCTTGAGTAAATTATGATGTTGTGGTATTATTTTTAATTAACTTTTATGAACCTCAACCATGTCACAAAATAAAATATTTGCTTCTAATACACCCTTTCAAACTTTATTTTGAATGCTTATTCCAAAATTATCTTTCTGAAACAGCACATACAGCAAATGACAAATTACATTACTTTTGTTGATTTATGTTATTCCAGAAAATGAAACCATTGATTTGAAAGGACAGTTCTGTCATCAATCTAGTCCTATGTTGTGTACAGTTGCATCTCATTTCCTGAACACTAATTTTGAGTTTTAAATCTGAGTAAATAAAAATATATAGACATTTTGAGTTGAAGAAATAGACAAATGTATTTCCACATTTATGCTAAAATGCTTAAATTTTTCAGTGCAGTTGTTATTTCTCAGTTTTTTCCCAAAAGTGCATCTTCAGCTCTCTTGTGTTTCTGAACAGTGACCTGCAGTTGCCAGTATTTAAGATAAACCCACATTAAACTCCCATTCTTCCTCTTGTCCATATTAAGTAAGTCTGCACAATACTTATCTCGCTTAAAAATGTCCTTCAAGTCCGACTCAAGATTGAGTTCTGACACTGTGGGGTCTTTGACTGCCTTCAGTAATATGTTTTTCTCCATTTCCAGACGTTGATCTCTGGGCAGAATAATGGAGCAGTAGGCACTCTGACGCTCCACTAAGAGGTGCTCTAGCTCGTTCAGAGTGGCTGTTGCCCGCTGGTGCCATCCATTCTCTCTCTCCAGTGCCTGATGCAAAAGGGCTCCAGCTGCACCACTCTTTACCAGCCTTTCCTTCTCTTCCTCCATGGCATCCCGTTCCTTTCAAATTAGGTAAAAAGAATAGTTAATAATTCCTCCATGTTTGCTTCCTTCCCTATGGCCTGTAAATATAAGTCATGGGTAGATTCTGGAAAAACAGGCTTTACAATTTACCAATCAACACCAAAATATTCTTGGTGGCAAGATTCATTCTTGAATGAATGAACTGTGAAAAGGCTGTGTAAAGACAACAGAATAAATACACAATAAAACATTTAAATTACCTTTTGAAGTTTCTTCCTTTCCTCCATCAGCTGCTGACTCTGTGAAATCAAAGCTTGTTTGTAGCCTGTCACTCTTTGTCGCTCCTTTTCCAACTCAAGCTCTAAGGAAGCTGCTGCCCTGCGCCTTTCACTCAGCGTCTCCCGGTAACGTGCCTCCATCTCATCCTTTATTATGGACACATCTTTTTCATATTGAGATTTCACTTCTTGGATTTCCCTTTGTGAGTCTCTAGTCCAAATCCAACCTGTAAAACAATTAAAATCACTAAGATCCAAATAATTTAAACCATTCTTAACACTTTGGGGAAGAAAACACTCACGAAAAGCTGCCAGTCCCAGCATAGGAACCAGGAGGGCATAGTTCCACTGGTTCCCATCTTCTGCCCCTGGACCCCTTCTTCTACCATCCGGCTGGATGTTCCATCTGGGAGGGTCATTCAAGTTGTTCATTGAGGCTACAAAGAAACTAATGATTGTAAATTGTTAATTCGAATAAGTCTGAGTCTTTGACTATGTGCAAAGCTATTTGTGCAAGAGTCAAGGGTTGATGACATGTTGAGTTGATCCAGGATTTAGACATTAGTGCATGTGGTAAAATTAAGAGATTTTCTCCAATAGTTTAAGGGGATTACACAATAGTAACACGACATGTTAGATGTATAAAAAAAAAAAAAAAAGAAAAAAAAAAAAAAGAATGTCAGCTGCCATCTCAAACAAACAAGGCTAGCCAGGAGCTAACGCTAGCTTAGTTCGCACAAGCCTGCTGACAGTTATGGCGAAGGGGACAAAGCAGAAGAACAACTGGTACCTGACAGCAGACATGGGGATGCGTTCGTTAAATAAGTGGTGCATATGCTCACCTTGAAAGAAAAGTCTAGGTCACGTATACATTTGTCCTGCAGCACAGCCAAACCTCAGATTATACAATTTTTGTTGAGAGTTATGGGTCATGTGCAATTATCTTAAAAGCAGGTTATTTCTTGAAACTTATTATAATGCCTTGTGATATAAAGTAAATAATGTACAATAACGGAAGATTATAATATATGTTTTTATTATTCTTAAGAGTATCAATGATAATTAAATTCTATGTTAATTTGTTTAAATGAGTTCATATAGTAATTTACTAATCAGCTCCCCCATGTTATAAGAATGGTTCAGTCCTGAGCATCAGACCGCCTCTGGAGAACCAAACCCACAGCTTCACTGTCGCACAGTGTCCGCACGCTTCAGCCGTCAACATGGCGAGTGTTCGTGCAGCCTCCAGACTCCTTTCCAAAAGGACTTTATTTAAAGCTAAAGCAGTAAGTGCACATGCTAGGAGACAATACATATATAGACATATATTTCTATATAACTGTGTTTGTGAGTGCCATGACCTGTGAACTATTTTTTGGCATTCGGCTTTTGGCTTTCGTAACTGTCAGACTGTGCCTTGCGTAAGCTCTTATGTAGCTTAGGTTAGTTCAATGTGACTTCCCTTATATATATAAATATACATAGCTACATTTTACAGTTGTGGTTTGTGTTAAAAATGATATTATTATTTCTTAAATAGAACCAACCTACGTAGACATTCATGTAAATAAATCGTATGTTACACATAACTTCCTCAACTTGGCTTGCCCTTGTCCAGGACTCTTTGATGCTAACATGCTAACAGAAAGCAAAGGGTGGTTTATTTTGACGCTCGGACTTAACACCTTTTTATTGTATTCCTTATAGCGTCCATGTTTTGTTGTGTTTTTATATAAATGTAGCTAGTATTATTTAACTATGATTGCGGCGTGCTCGGAATAGCGGCTTGACTACTTTATCTGGAAGACATTGTTTATTTTTTTATTTCCTTTGGAGAAATCGTAACATTGATTTTAACTGAATATTTTCGTTTCAGATTCCTGCTGTTACTGTGGAGCGCACCAGAAATTTCCACTTTTCTGTCTATGGGAAGAAAAACAATGCAAAAGTGTCCAGTGATGTAAGTTGACACTGGAAATACCAGTGCTAGATAGACTGCATTCGGTATTATTCATAAACACAGCAACCATAATTTTCCTTTCAGATCTCTACTCAGTACCCAGTTGTGGATCATGAATTTGATGCTGTGGTGGTTGGAGCTGGAGGAGCAGGTCTGAGAGCTGCCTTTGGTCTCTCTGAGGCAGGTTTTAACACTGCATGTGTGACCAAGCTGTTTCCCACCAGGTCTCATACGGTGGCTGCACAGGTGAGCAGCAGGTTGTTTCAAAGTATAAGTCTGACTGTATAACATTATTAGATATATATACAATAATCACTTGATTCTTCTTTTTGTAAACAGGGCGGTATCAATGCAGCACTGGGAAACATGGAGGAAGATGACTGGAGGTGGCATTTCTATGACACAGTGAAAGGATCTGATTGGTTGGGAGACCAGGATGCTATCCATTACATGACGGAGCAAGCCCCTGCAGCTGTAGTAGAGGTAATTATATATATGCAAATTATTATTTGGTTTTTCCACTTAAATGCTCTATTGTCTAGCTGGAAAACTTTGGCATGCCATTTAGCCGAACTGAGGATGGCAAGATTTACCAAAGGGCCTTTGGTGGCCAGAGCCTTAAGTATGGAAAGGGAGGCCAGGCCCATCGCTGCTGCTGTGTAGCAGACCGCACTGGACATTCATTACTTCATACACTCTATGGACGGGTAATTAAAACTGTATAATTATGTTAGGCACAAGTTTACCAGTGAGTCTGCTCTTTTAAAAGCATTCCACCCTTTTGCAGTCACTTCGTTACGACACTAGTTACTTTGTGGAGTACTTTGCACTTGACCTGCTCATGGAGAATGGCGAGTGTAAAGGAGTTATTGCATTGTCCATGGAAGATGGCTCCATCCACCGCTTCAGAGCCAACAATACTGTCATTGCTACTGGGTGAGTGTTTAATGTAATAATTATATTATATAAAAATTTACACAACTCACTCAGTGTTGTACGGCTTCATTTGTAGGGGGTATGGGCGTGCCTATTTCAGCTGTACTTCAGCACACACAAGCACAGGCGATGGAAATGCAATGGTCACTCGAGCTGGTCTTCCCTGCCAAGATTTGGAGTTTGTGCAGTTTCATCCCACAGGTGGGGATCTATCAAATTGTGCAGCAAAATATAATTACTGTATGACATAACTGGAATATTTCTTTAATATTGAGTTCTACCTTTTAAAAAGAATGAATGAAAGAATAAATACCCCATTTGTTTTCTTTTAGAAGTTAGAATGCACTTGAATGCGTCCTTGCAGTGATGTCTGTAGAGTTCTGCATTCTTTGCTCACAGGTATTTATGGAGCTGGGTGCCTGATCACTGAGGGTTGCCGTGGAGAGGGAGGGATCCTAATTAACAGTGAAGGAGAGAGATTTATGGAGCGTTATGCGCCCAACGCTAAAGACCTGGCATCCAGAGATGTTGTGTCACGCTCGATGACGATAGAAATTCGAGAGGGCAGGTGCGGAGATGATTTATTCCTAAATTCATGTTAAATGTCATATTGTGTCCTGATCAATAACATACCTCTAACTGTGTTCTGTGTCATTTGCACATTTCATTTATTCTGCATGTTCTGTCAGTTTCCCACATCAGATGATGACAAAATGCCTGCCTCAGATTTCTTTATCATACTCCATGAAGTCCATTGTGGGTTTTTTTTTGTTTGTTTGTTTTTTTAATTAGTTGATAGATTTTAGCAGGCTGTTTTTTTTTTTTTTTTTTGTTTTTTGTTTTGTTTTTTCAAGCAGGTTTCAGATACAGGTAGAGAGCAGATGCTGACATTTTAAATACATATCAGGACTCACAAGTTTTTACTATTTTCTGTACTTATAAATAATTTTATTTACTTAAGGAAATTCCATTTTAAATCTATCTGTACTAGTTTGTATAAAAACCTTAAGTTCTCTTCAAGATATTTGCCCATCTACACTTGTGTTTATTAACTGTAGATGATAATGGTGTTCTCTTTTAGGGGGGTGGGTCCAGAGAAGGACCATGTGTACCTGCAGCTGCACCACCTTCCACCACAGCAGCTGGCCACAAGGCTACCTGGGATCTCAGAAACCGCTATGATCTTTGCTGGAGTTGATGTGACAAAGGAGCCTATTCCAGTTCTTCCCACTGTACATTACAACATGGGTGGAATACCTACCAACTATAAGGGGCAGGTAAGCATTCACATTCATTTATTTATGAATTAATTTCTGCCCTGTCTCACATTTCTGTGCCCTTCAGGTGATCACTCATGAAAATGGAAAAGACAAGGTGGTCCCGGGATTGTATGCCTGTGGTGAGGCGGCCAGCGCCAGTGTCCATGGTGCTAACCGTCTCGGTGCCAACTCCCTATTGGATTTGGTGGTGTTTGGCAGAGCCTGCGCTCTCACAATTGCTGAAGAACACAAACCAGGTGAAGGTGTCTTCTACAAATGCTTTTGATATTTGACTTTGACAAACACTTATTCTAGTAATAATATTTTTAGGAGAGAAATTATCCCCTTTGCAGCCCAATGCAGGAGAGGAGTCTGTGGCCAACCTGGATAAATTGAGATATGCAAATGGTTCCTTGAGAACATCTGAAATTAGGCTTAATATGCAGAAGGTAAAATACATCTCGTATTTACTGTGACATGGGCTGTCGGCGAAAATTATATAAGGTTGTGGTACTTTGATCCAGACCATGCAGGCCCATGCTGCTGTGTTTCGTACTGGAACTGTGCTGAAGGAAGGCTGCGACAAGATGGATGGCATATACACAACTTTGGAGGACATTAAGACATTTGACAGAGGTGATAATTTTTCAAATTTTCATTTTACATTTTTTAAACTGTTCACACACAACTGTGTAAAACATTTTCTTTATTTTCCAGGCATTGTGTGGAACACTGACCTGGCAGAGACTCTGGAGTTGCAAAATCTTATGTTGAATGCCATGCAGACCATCCACTCAGCTGAGCAGAGGAAGGAGAGCAGAGGAGCCCACGCAAGAGAGGACTTCAAGGTCAGCTTTTTTCAATTTTATTTTGTGCTGTTGGTACTTATTTTGTTTTTAATCGTGTATTGTAAATGTTCTTTCCTATTAAGGATCGCATTGATGAATATGACTATTCCAAGCCTCTCCAGGGTCAGGAGAAGAGGTCTTTCGATCAGCACTGGAAACACACACTGTCATATGTTGACCCCAAGTCTGGAAAGGTACAGTATAACAGACATTTCTTTTATATACTGCTCAAAAAAGTAAAGGACTCTTTTTGAAAACACATTAGATCTCAATATGGAAAAAACCCTTTTATCTCTACAAGTATCAACATAGCAGTGTCTTAGGAATGGAAGGATGCCATCTCTTTTCATGGAAATGAACAACAGGTGCACCAGAGTCGTAACAATGAAACGACTCTTAAAACAGGACTGGTTTTGCATGTTGAGGTCATTTTGAGTTCCTCCATCTTTGTTTTTTGGCTTAATTTCCACTAGTACTGGCTTTGACTAGAGTGATCATCACTACTGGAAGTATGAGCCCATTACTTAACCCTACAGAAGTTAAACAAATTGTCCGACTTCTCAAGGATGGCACATCCGGACCTGCCGTTGCAAGGAGATTTAATGTGCCTTCCAGCATAAACTCCTGGACATGGAAATTTCAGGAGACAGGCAGTTACTCTAGGAGAACTGGGCATGGCTGTAGAAGCTCCTCAACCCATCAGCAAGACTCATATCTGCTCCTTTGTGCAAGGAGCAACAAGTTGAGCACTGCCCATGCCCTACAGAATGATTTCCAGCAGGCCACTAGTGCGAATATCTCTGCCCAAACAATCACTAACAGAATTCATGAGCATGGCTTGAGGGTATGACATCCTTTAGTGGATCCAGCACCATGGAGCTCCATTGGCATTTGCTAGAAGATGCCAGAATTGGCAAGTCTGCCACTCTCATATGTGAAAGGCACATATG